ATTTGTGGACTTCAACTCCCAGAGTTCCTCAGCCAGCTGGGTGAGGAATTCTGGGAGTTGAAGTTCACAAATCTTAAAGTTGCCAAAGTTGGAAACCCCTGCTCTAAAGCACACCCTCAGATAGAATGAAGATATGTGTTTTTCTGACACTTATTACATCCTGTTTTTCTACAGAGAAAGCAGTTGCATTGGAATCAAACAAGGCCTGTTCATAAATTTACCGGCTTTGAAGTGATGTTAGGAGTGTAAAATTTCCAATGCTCATTTCTGCAAAATGGTTATTCTGAGGAAAAAAAAAAAAGAAAATGAAAAAGCTCATTTGCTAAGAGCTTCCATTTATTTGGTTCCCTTCAATCTCCGGGAGCAACACAGAACTAGTAATTTTGAGAGTGCCGGGCAGGAATGGCGATGTCAGCACTGTAAATATCTCAAACATGCATTCAAAATATTCCAAAATATCCAACATGCTTCTAACATTATCTTTTAATTGTCTTTGAGATAAAAACCCAGCTTGATCTTCACAAATACATTCTTATAAAATTATTTTCAATCTATCAGCTAGGATCATTGTGAAGAGTTAGTAATTATATTGGACTATAATTTCTTGTCAAGTCAAATCCTTTGCTAGGTATTGATGTTTATTTGCCTCATTCCATCTCTCAGGCATCTTTCCTCTCTGCACAACAGCATTAATTGTGTTTTGCAAAGGTTGCAAGAGTCCATCATCAAAACATTTATAATAAGAAGCCAATAATTCATCTGGTTTTTCTGCACTTTTCCAGGTTTAATCTTTTTTATAGCTTCAGAAGCCTCTCTACAATTAATCATTTGTGGCCACTGGGAAGAATGTGCCCAAAGAGAATTAAGCACTCTTCTCAGGTACTAATAAAAATACATGTCACTATGCTTAACAATAGAATTGTGCAGTGGTGACATCCATTTTTTTTTTACTACCGGTTCTGTGGGCGTGGCTTGATGGGCGTGGCTTGGTGGGCATGGCAGGGGAAGGATACTGCAAAATCTCCATTCCCATCCTACTCCAGGGGAAGGATACTGCAAAATCTCCATTCCCATCCCATCCCAAGAGAAGGATACTGCAAAATCTCCATTCTCACCCCACTCTGGGGCCAGCCAGAGGTGGTATTTGCTGGTTCTCCGAACTACTCAAAATTTCCGCTACCGGTTCTCCAAACTGCTCAAAATTTCTGCTACCGGTTATCCAGAACCTGTCAGAACCTGCTGGATTTCACCCCTGGAATTATGTATGTTTTCATTAACATAGACAGTATCTCAATTGATGGCCACTGTATTTTCTGCACAATAACGTTTTGGTTTAGAAATCATGGGGACTAAAATAACATAAATGCCAAGATGTTCAGGACATGGTATAGGGCAGTACAAAACGTGCTGCTGAAATCACCAACAAAATTAAATGTGTGTACGTCCACACCATGCACAAATAGCCTTCAATGCAGTAGTAGGAGTCTGTGTTGCTTCTAGGACCTTACTAACATGCTTGGCAAAGAGCCCTTTCTGAATGCTTTGCATTGCCTTAATACATTGTGTTTGTTTGGGAGAATTACATTTTATTTGGGAGCAATTCTCAGCCCATGTTATGTACACATTCAGGCTCGAAGAAGGTTTAAAAGAATTGTATTTTCATCAGCCTGCTGCTATCTCAGCTTTGCAAATTTGTATGAGAAAGGATAGAGTGCCTGGTTAGCAAACCTACCCATGAGGCAAGAGTGTTCCACATGAAATAACATACAATTTTGCCTACTTGGGATACAAATGCTGCTTGAGAAAAGGTCAAGAACATTGATCGCAATTTCTCTTCTTCTAAGGTTCAGCTACTTTTCCTGGGTTCCTGGCACCCTCACAATATAATATAAATTCTGAAAATGGCCAAGATCTCACGAGACGTCGAGCATTCTCACCTCAAGATTTTGCAAAGACCATAAATGAAAAAGTTAAGATTTATTTATTTATTCAATTTATATCTTGCCCTTCTCCTAGTGGACTTAGGGCGGTGCACAGCCAGAACTAAAACACATACCAATACAAAATTTAAAATTATTAAAAGAATTATATAACTGTGGCCCAAAATTTAAAACATTGAAAACTAAAACCCATTTGACAATTTAAAAAGCTAAAAAAGGCTAAAAAAGGGGGGGGATCATGCCAGCCCTGCTTGATGGAAAAGTTTTTAGGGCACGGCGAAAAACCCGGAGATCCGATATCCTTTGTATCTCCGGGGGCAAATCGTTCCAGAGGGCAGGAGCCACCACAGAGAAGGCCCTCCCCCTGGGGGTCGCCAGCCGACATTGCCTGGCTGACGGTACCCGGAGGAGTCCCTCTCTGTGGGAGCGTACTGGTCAGTGGGAGGCTATCGACGGCAGAAGGCGGTCCCGCAAATACCATATCATAAAAGATATCATAAAATACCTCTAATGTGACAACACTGAGGCCCCGGGAGGGTGTGATGTCCTTGTGAATTTTCAGCCACTTTAAATAGGGGATATTAACTTTTCTGTCAAGCAAGCTAGAACTGAAGTGCACTTCTGGGATAGATCTTAGGAAGAGGGAAAGACGCAAGCAGCTGTTTGCAGCACATGCTGGAATTCATTACGAGAGAGAGAGAGAAAGAGAGAGAGAGAGAGAGAGAGAAAGAAAGAAAGAAAGAAAGAAAGAAAGAAAGAAAGAGAAAGAAAGAAGCTGGCTCAAAGAAGTACACATATAAAATGGAAAGGTTCCTGTGAGAGACTACGCTGAGGCTGAGAGAGAAGGAGAAGCAGCTCTGGAGAAGCAACAACGGGAAAACTCATTATAGGCTTATCAAATAAATGTACCCTTAGTGTATAACACAGATGTCCTGAGATAAAGAAACCCAAAAGCCCTGATCTTTTTAATGAACTTATTAATAAGTGGGGAACTTGATGGCTTGTACCTCAGTTCTCAAGATTCTGTACTATAGCCTCTTGGCATAAAAATTCAATTAAAAGAGGTTTGTGATTCTTGTTTCCTTGATCACCCTCTTCTGTTAAAGGGATTGACGTGCCCTACTCCCTAATTTACTCAATGCCACACATATGTTAAATAGTTAAATAATCAGTGCTTTTAAAAATGAGAGGTTGAGGAACCAAACACCTATGCCTTGCATCACTGTGGTCACATGGTTGCACGCAGTGGTGGGTTTCAAACTTTTTAAATACCGGTTCTGTGGGCGTGGCATGGCTTGGTGGGTGTGGCAGGGGAAGGATACTGCAAAATCCCCATTTCTTCCCGATTAACTGGGACTCGGGAGGAAGAGAATAAAAGGGGGCAGGGCCAGTCAGAGATGGCATTTACTGGTTCTCCGAACTACTCAAAATGTCTGCTACCGGTTCTCCAGAACTGTTCAGAACCTGCTGAAACCCACTTCTAGTTGCACGTAGATAAAAGTCCTTCCTCATGACCATCTTGTAGCCTTTTCTATTATCATCCAACCTTTTATTGTTGTGCCAAAATAACAGTCATGAAGGGAGGCTTGATATCATTTGGCTGAGTGATGCTATGAAAACACTTTAAATCAGGGGTCTCCAACCTTGGCAACTTTAAGACTTGTGGGCTTCAACTCCCAGAGTTCCTCAGCCAGCTTTGCTGGCTGAGGAACTCTGGGACTTGAAGTCCACAAGTCTTAAAATTGCCAAGATTGGAGACCCCTGATTTAAATCACTAGTGGAAAAATGGCCAGATTCAGTGCATGCCAGGGAGAAGCAGTCACGTTTTCCCATATACAGGTAGTCCTTGATTTACAACCATTCATTTTAGAGACCATTCGAAGTTACAACGGCACTGAAAAAACTGACTCACACTTATATGCTGCCTACCCACAGGTATGTGATCAAAATTTGGGTGCTTAGTGATTGGCATGTATTTGCCATCTACCTATGTCTACCCCATTGACATGTATTTGCCACCTACTTGCCATTGACAAGTAAAATCAATGTTGGGGTGGGGAGAGCCAGATTCGCTGAACAACTGCATGATTCACTTAACATCTGTGGCCATAAAAGGTCATAAAGGTGGATGTAGCTCACTTAACAACTGCCTTGCTTAGCAGTTGTGAAAATTCGGATCTCAATGGTGGTTGTAAATTGAGGGCTACCTGACTTGTGTTTTGAGTCAAAGAATTACCTCTCAGTCACAATGAATTAAAGGGTATAAAAGCAAATGAGGGGCTGTTTTACTTGCATCCTACTTTTCAGAAGCACCTTATAAAAAAATCAGAACAAAAGACATTTTTGCATTGATTCCTCAGTGCGCCCCTCATTTACTTCAGCAGCTACAACCTAACCTCCCTTCTAAAGGTGTACCATGGTTAACTTTAGCTACTGGGAATAAATTCCACACACATTTCCTACTGAATTGACATTCCCGCAGCAACCTTCATATCTCAACAGATCTCAATACAAGCCATGTAAAAAAAAAAAACCACAAAACCCTAAAAGCATCAACTTCACACGATAAAAAGGACGTTATCTGGAATATTTGCAAATCCTTCAGTCGGCAAACACTGTAACCACAGAAGAGGAAAGATATGTTTGTGATAATGATCGGATTCTGCCTAAAAGTTCAAATTCACTCAGTACTACCACTTGTCTCAATGTCCAAAATACATCCCAAAGAGCTTTCATTTAAATGGGTAGCTTTACCGTTTGCCCTTTTTTTGCACACATTCTATCCAAATAAGATGGTTTGTGTGTGAGCGTTGCAGTTTTATCAACTTTCTGGAGATTGGACAAACTGGAGAGAGATTGGACAACCACTTGTCTGAAATGGTATCGGGTCTCCTGCTCGAGCAGGGTTTGGACCAGAAGATCTCCAGTCCCTTCCAACTCTGTTATTCTACGGGAGTGTATTCTCATACAGACATTGGGCTATGATGGAATGTGTTAGCACAGGCCTCTTTAAATAGTTCAACTTATTCCCCAAATCATTCAGACATAAGGCTGCAAAAATACTTTTGCATTTAAGGTTTCTATCATTCCCTTTTGACATGGCTAGTTAAAAAGAGCTTTAGAACACAGCTGAGAAAACCATATTTTTAGACTGTACCTGTACAGTCGTACCTCGGTATTTGACGTTAATTGGTTCCGGGAAGCACAATGTGTAGTAAGAACTACGAGTGCCAAACAAACCAGGTGACTCATCATGTGACCCTGGGAAAAATTTTCTGTCTGTCCTTTTTCCTATATCAGATACCTTTCCAGCCTGGCCGACTTTCTGTTTGCTCTCTGCGGCTGTCCCACTCTTTCTTTTGCAGCACGCCAAATACCAAAGAAACTATGAGTACTGGGGCAACATTTTTTTGGCATCAAAATGCATCGAGTACCAAATTCGACAAATTTTGAAGCAGTCAAATACCGAGGTACCACTGAACTGTATATCAAGGACAATTGAATTTTAGTTCCCCGTATAGAATGGATGTTATAAAGGTCATACAATGTAAAACATTTTTAGACAAATGGAGCTACTGTGATACTAGCCAGAGTGTTATTTCAGTTGGACCATCAAAAGAACTGAATTCAGAGGAAAATAAATGCCACAAAGCAGGCAGTGAGTTGAGACATAACCGAAATAAGATTATACTTGTTTTGAGGGCTGGGAAGAATACACAATGTGTTGGTCTTTCCAGAAAGCTCTAAATAAAACCTTCCAAATCTGTTTACTCCAAAATGTCTCATTATTGTAGGCCTTTACATCTGGCCCCACATTACAGCTACATTTTCAAAAGTCAGTTTGTTATGAGTGGGTTGCTAGCTTGTTCCCACACTCTGGCAATCTTGTTACTATGGTGAACTATAATAATAATAATAAAAAATTAAACACCATGTGAAAAAGGACACAATTTGTCCTTTCAGACCCTCATTTTTTCTCTAATCCTATCAGCAATCCTACCTCACCAAGCTTCAGAGATGAACACATACTGTATTTTTCGGACTATAAGACCCACCTAAATTTAGAAGAGGAGAACAACAAAAAATTGGCCTCCGTGCGCCCCATTTTTGGGCCTTTTCCAGCATTTTTGGGGCCCATTTTCAAGGCTTGTTTCAGCCCATTTCTGGGGCTTTTTGCGGCCTGTTTTTGGAGCTTTTTTCGGCCCATTTTTCAGCTTTTTTGGCCCATTTTCGAGGCTTTTTGGGGAGCTTTTTTTGGCCTGTTTTCGAGGCTTTTTTCAGCTCATTTTTGGGGCTTTTTTCAGCCCGTTTTGGGGGCTTTTTTGGCCTGTTTGTGAGGCTTTCTTTGGCCCGTTTTTGAGGCTTTTTGGGGGGCTTTTTGGCCTGTTTTCGAGGCTTTTTTCAGCTCATTTTTGGGGCTTTTTTCAGCCCGTTTTGGGGCTTTTTTGGCCTGTTTGTGAGGCTTTCTTTGGCCCGTTTTTGTAGGCTTTTTCGGCCCATTTTTTCAGAAAAAATGGGCCAAAAAAGCCTTGAAAACGGGCTGAAAAAAATCTCAAAAACGGGCTGAAAAAAGGCCTGAAAAAGGCCAAAACGGCCTGAACACATGTGGAGGCAAAAAAACAGCTGGGGGGGGTGTTCAGCAATATTCGGTCTGTAAGACACACAGACATTTTCACCCGCTTTTGGGAGACAAAAAAGTGCATTTTATAGTCCAAAAAATACGGTATATCATGGGTGTCAAACTAACTGCATCATGTTGCCATCACGTGATGTTTTGCAACGTTTTCCCCATTCGCGGAGCTGGGGTGAGTGTGGCCTACATGTGACGCATCCAGCCTGTGGGCCGCCAGTTTGACACCCCTCACATACATTGACCATTTTTAAATTCACCACCAAAAGTCTCTCTTTCTCTCTTCTCTCTCTCTCTTTCTCTTTGAGTGCCAAGATATTCTTGCTCTCACATAGATGAAAGATTCTTAATATATATTTATATATATATATATATATATATTAAAAAAAAGATGCATCCAAGGATCTGGATAATACATTTACTTGCGTTTCCTAAGAAACGGATTTCCATTTTTTTCCCTTATACGTGTGTGTATTTTAAGCTGTTGGAAGCGTCTGACAGGAGTTGTCGTTACTAAATTGTACTCAACTCTTCAAAGCATAAACGCCAGAAAAGAAGAAATAAGAGCAAAGTAGGGAATGGGAAAAGAGAAAGTCAAAAAGAGATCAACAAAGAACCAAACAAATTAACAGCCCAGATTCCAGCAGCCCTCATAAATAAGCCACACAAGAGACAACAGAGATTTGGAGAAGACACTGCTGCCTGAGGCTGTGGTCACCATTAGCAATGATGCATTGCTTTCAAGCTGTAATCCAAAGGCTGTGAGGAATAGGAGGAAGGAGTCTTTAACACTTGGATTGCTTGTAAACTCCGCAATTTCTAAGGCTGATTGTGATTTCAGGAGGGAGGAGTATGAGAAGGAGAAGGAACCTGAGTTGAATCCTTCAGCGCCTTGGCTCTGCTCCTTCTTTGCAACTGTTTCCCACTGGTTCCAAAGAGCTTTTTTTCTCTTTAAGTTTTTTTTTTCCTGTCCCTCTCTTACTCAATCCTCCACGTGGCTGGAAGTCTCCAACAGCTGCATCAACACTCTCCTTCTGTTGCCATGACAACCAGCATCTCACTCTTGCCCATCTCTTCCAAGGCACTAGCCAGAGTGTTAAGATCTCCATCGTCTTGATGTTGAGCTTCCCATAAGTCCAGGATCACCCCCGTTGGGCTGGCTTTGGTGGCAAAGAAATTTAGGTACCTAAATAAGATAGAGAGTAGGAGAGCTTATAAATATCAACTTTGACCTTCAGCATCAATCTTCAATATTATTGAAATATTCTGTTCTGAAGCCATTGTTCACATAAGCAGACTAGCACCCTGATTAAATCCATACCGCCATGAAACCAGAGCCCTGAAATCATAATTATTTTCAGGACCAAAGTGGTTTTTGTAAGAAGGCCAGTGGAGAAAAATATGAGACTATAAAATAAAAATATTAAGGACCAAGGAAAAATCATGGGGATGAAATGTTTTATTTAAGCATCCCCTGTCAATAAATCAGCTAAAACATAACAACTGCATCATTCTGCCTTTAGGATTTATAAACATTATTTCAAGGAATGCATGAAATAATTCTTCATATACATCTAGGACTCCAGGTAAACGTTGTTCAAGTGAAAGCACAGCCCAATAATATAAATAAATTGCTTTAGAATTCAGTAGGATTTATTTCCAAGTAATTGTAACTTTGGGCTGGTGATGATGATTTAGGTTTATCTAGCCATCCATCTCACAAACCAACTCTGGTGACTGATACAGCAAAAAATATCATATAATAAAAATATATAATAAAAATAATAAAAGTTAAGTAACGATGGGCAACCAAAGGTAAATGCATTCACACATCTTATAAGCTCAGCTAATTTATTAACCAATTTCTATGTTTAAGTTCCTATTTTTTTCTTTTTATAATTACAGGCAAGCTGACAAAAATATATATATTTAAAGCCATAATAATATGAAGAATGCAAAATGGGGAAAGAATATTATATAGTGTTTCTGCCCAATTCTACTACTCTTAGATTCTCTGAGAACGGATTTTATTATGTAGGAGTGTATTTTCAGAGTTTCCATTCTGTACATCCAGTAGGGGTCTGTTCTAGTTTGTAAAGTGTAAAACATGAAATCCATAAATGGCAATGGTGTTAAAACTTCCATTACAACTACACATCACTCGTACAACTGTTCAACTATAGAGCAATTGAATAAAGTTCAACCAACAATTTAAAAAAAGAATAAGAAAGCCCTGATGATCTCCAAATTGACTTTAAAACATTTCCTGAAACATTTGACCGCAAAAAAAGTTGATTTGAGGCTAAAAATGCTAGAGTGTAGGCTTCAGGTGAATATTATGGGAAGGACATTCCATTGCCGAGAAGGTTATTACCGAACCCAGGTAGCCATCTGCTGAACATACAAGAGACCCTTTCTTGATGTTGTAGCGGGTCCAGATTGATAAATATTAAAAGAGATATTATCACAGGTAATCTGGATGTGAATTGTTTAGAACCTTATAGTTTTAAGACCAGCCTTTGAAGATTAAACATAGATAATCTTGTTCAAGAGGGACTATTGAACTTAATCTACCTTTTCTGCCTTTGGACCCTGTTTCACCGAAAAATAAGACCCAACTGGAAAATAAGTCCTAGCATGATTTTTCAGGATGCTCGTAATATAAGCCCTACCCCAAAATAAGTCCCAGATAAGATTGTCAGCCAAATGGATGCATTTAGTACTGTATTTCCCCCCAAAATAAGGCCTAACCAGAAAGTAAGCCCTAATGCACTTTTTGGAGCAAAAATTAATATAAGACCCGGTCTTATTTTGGGGGAAACACGGTGGTAGTTCTATTTATGACTTAGAGGCTGCCTGACCTCAGATATCTTATGGCAGCCCACACTTTAAAAAAGGAGGGGAAAATGAAAGCAAAAAATAAAAACTGCACATCTTGGAGAACTAACCATATATATCAAAAGAAAAAGGACCTTACAGGTGCCATAACTACTCCAAGCCCAGGGAGAATGCCCAGGTATTCAAACATCTCCAGAACATCATCAAAGTTGGATCCATTTGTATCTCTGTTTCTAATCAAAGTGGTTATGTTGACCATAGCTTCTTGGCCTACTAAAATGTCCAAGGAGATTCTCAGTCATCCAGGCCATGGTTGTCCCAAGGGTGCTTTTTCAAAAGGCAACTAGACTTTGTTTTTCCTTGAAAAACATGCTTCTCATCTGAGAACTTGGATGAGAAGCGAAACGTCTTCAAGGATATACAAAGTCCAGTTGCTTTTTGGAAAAGCACCTTTGGGTCTTGGCCTACTAGTAAAACTCCACCAGTGACTTTATAAACCCCTTCAGTATTGTAGGCAGGAATTCTGATATTGGCAAAATGGGTAAAAGCAATGTAGGTGGCTATTCATCATAAGCTATTCATCACATCATATCATTAAGCCAAATTACGGCATCTAAATGAATTGGTTCTCAACAGTGCAAGTTAGGGGCTTAAATGACCAAACAACTTCAAAGAATACAATGAATGCAAATTAACCAACTTCCTTGGCTGGTTTAATTCCTGTGGGGCAATCAAAGCATTGAAGTAAAACTCACCGATCCATGGAAAGCTTTTGGGCAAGGAGCCGCCAGTCATTCCCTCTAGAGTTAGGAGCATCAAGACTGTTGCAGATTTTCTGCCGTATGGACAGAGGAATCTTGAAGGCGTGTGGTCCAAGCTGGGTTGTCATGGCACCGCCAGCGTAGGACCGCAAGGCATCAAAGGAGCTGGAGTTCTTTGAAATTTGAAATTTTTATTAGTTTACCAAAATATAAAACACGAAGAAAAATGAAAACAATGGGAAAGTAAGGGAGGGAAACAGGAAGAGGAAAAAGTGTAGAGGAAAACAGGAAAAAGAAAGAAAAGCATTGACTTCTGACTCTTTTTAGTAGAATAGGATAATAACATACAGTCTCAATTTTTTACTTTTATATAGTTCTATGCACAAAAATGGAAAGATACTTTAATTCCTACAACGGCTGACTGGTTGCAAAAGCTAATGAAGTTAGCAGAGGTGGCTAAATTGACTGCTTTAATTAAAGAAAAGAATATAGATAACTTTGTTTCCACTTGGAAACTGCTTCTGGACTTTGTGCTTGAGGTGGACCAAATAAATAAATAAATAAATAAAACGGTGACTTTGGATTTTGCTGATTAGATAAATTTGTTGTTATGGAAATAATTAGTATATATTATTATGTAAAAGGAAGTGGAGCTCTTATAACAAAACAAAATGGGAGGCAGTGATTAATTGGATAAAGATGGCAATTTTTAAAAACATGATAAGCTCCATTTTATCATTTATGGATCCCAAACTGTCTCATAATCTCTCAAGATCAATGAGAGCCATGATCCATAACATGTGCTAGAAAAAACAAATAATATTCTCAGGCCACAATTGGTCTGCCTTCTGGCACTTTCAAGAAGGATATTGAAAGATTCACTATAACCAGAAACCACATACTGTATTTGCTGGGAGGCATATATACATATGTGCATACAACAAATGTTTCTATTTTGGTTTTTAGTCACTGAAACAATGGACAAACGTCTAGAGAAGTAACACAAGAAAAGTTTAAAGGCCCATATCCAGTGGTGGACTGCAACTAGTTTAAGAACCGGTTCTATGATGCACTAACGCACTTGAGTGCAGCGTTCAAAATACAGCAATTTGAAGCTCAGCTGCTTAACTTCTAAGGCAGCCCCAGTCAGTAGAACAGCGGAGGTGTGGAAATCAGCTGGGCCCCGTGAATCAGCTGAGCCAGAAAGAAGAAAATATAGGACAGGATAGGGCGGGTGCAGGTGGGTGGGGCTATCTGATGGTTGGAACTACCGGTTTGCTAGAACCGGTCCGAACCGGCAGCAGCCCACTGCTGCCCATATCAGCTTCACGTGTGAAAATGGTCCCATCTTGTTTCGTTGCAGCCAGTACACAATAGTATTGGAGCTGGCTTCTACTGGCTTGTGAGTATTGATGTTTACATTTTCTGGAATTTTGCAAGCCTGTTCAGAGGAGAACTGAGCCAGGATTCCCAGTATGCTGATCAGCTGTTTGGTGGCCAGCAACAGCAATGAAGCTGGCAGAATTGGTTGTTAAATATTTGCCAGCACAACACACCCTCTAACTACATTAGCTGCGGCTTTGCTCCTGCCACAGAACAAAATTTTGATTTTTTTTTGTTTTGTTTGTTTGCCATGTACTAGGCAAACAAAGTCAGAAGCATTTGAAAGGGGAAAAAAAAAGCAGTCAGTAAAACGCACTAGGAAAACTACCAAATGCTAAAAACCAAAATAATAGGAACGTGAAGGGTATCATGTCTTAAAAATAAATGGTGATCTTCACAGCACCATCAAATTATCCTGCCTCAGTGAGTGCAGAAGGAAACAGCTATCTAATAATGCCATGCATGGCTGAACTATAATGGGCCTTCGAGATTAGGACAGGAATCTCAAATTAGCCTGCAGGGGGAAGGGAGGTTGGTTGCTTGGTTTTGAAATGTTTTCAATAATGCACTTCCTACCACAACTTTAATAGGAAATACAAATCTGTATGTAACTGGCTAAACACCAATGATCTCAGAAGTACAGGAAGGCTTCAGGGCTGAGATTTAAATAGTTACTACCCTCTTCTTGGTTCTTGAGCTTTCCGAAAAAGTTTCAGCAAAAATACTTTGTCCAGAATTAAAATAAAAACCCTGAAATGGATATTTAAAATTTCCAACAGGTTGTGTGAGCCAGATACACAAGCAAGAAGAGTTACATGAAAGAACAGGCTATATTGTTAATATCCAGTAGAATAGGGATGGATGTATCAAAGAGATGTTAGCAGACAATAAGAAATACGATTTTCTTTAACTGCCCATATAATAGTAATGATATTTGGAACAGCAGAAGTGGAAGTGAGTCGTGGCTGAAATTAAACATTAGAGCAGTGTTTCTCAATATTGGTAAATTTAAGTTGTGTGGACTCCAGCTCCCAGAATTCCCCAACTAGAATGCTGACTAAGGAATTCTGGGAATTGAAATCCATTCATCTTAAAGTAAAGAGAACTGCTGCATTAGAGGAACCTAACATGAACATTAGCACATATTTTACCGATTGTATCTGGCCAATATAATGTTTCAGAGAAACTACTAGGCCAGGGGTGAAATGCTCTGAAGTCTGCTACCAGTTCACTTCGCTACCTGTTTGCTGTGCATGCGCATACGTGGTGCGTGCCAAACTCGCGCTTTGCACACAGGCGCATCGCAGGTGCTACCGCGCAGCACTGATAAAGGAGGATTATGAAGCCTTTTCTAAGGTAAGTAGAACAGCAAGGGTGGGGGAAACAGCTGTGCCGCACGATTTAGATTCACTAGAAAGCAGGATAATATAAATCACGCGGCACAGCTGATCATTGGAAATACCGGTTTGTCTGAACTGGTAGCAATTTTTTTACTACCGCTTTGCCCGAACCTGTAGCTTTTATTACTACCGGTTCAGGCAAACCAGTCCAAACCAGTAGCATTTCACCCCTGTGCTAGGCCCATTATTAAATATCCTGTTCCTTTTGTCTCTTTCATTCATTCATTTGCTTTTCTTATCCGAGTTCCCCTTGCTTACCTCTCCAAGTGTAATATGTAATTGAAATATCTGCCCTTCTCCTTCAACTTGCCGAACACAGATTTTGCAAGTAAGTTCTGCAGTAGCTGGGCTGTATCTCTCAAGACTGAAGGTGCAGTGTAGTGCTCTCTGACTACCACTCCAAATGTGATAGAAAGGGATTTCCTGAAGGAAATAGAAAAGTAACAGAAAAGATGAACAAACGTGTGCCACAACATGTCACCACTCTGGAAATTTACAGATGGGTCCTTTAAAAAAAAAAAAAACCAGACCCTAAACCAAAACAATCCTGTGTATTTTCACTTCATATCAAATTCCAGGCAAGCAGAAGCAAAGAACAAGGTTTAGAGCAGTGGTGAAATTCAGCTGGTTCTCTATGGCTCGGGGTGAAGTGGTAGCGCAGGTGGCGGGAGGCTCTGCCCACCTGCCCGGATGTCATCATGTCCTGTCATCAAGGCTCTGCGCATGCGTGGAGGAGGTGTACGTGACAGGGGTGGGTTCTACTTACCTCCACTTCCGGTTTGCAACAGGAACGCGTGTGTGCGCTTCTGTGCATGCACAAATCATTCATGATCATGTCCGGGAGAGTGGGCGGAGCCTCCTGCCATCATTATTACCGGTTTGCAAGAACCAGACCGAACCGGGAGCAACCCACCACTGGCGTGTGCTCACATTTGCGAACCGGTAGCAAAGGTAAGTGAATTTCACCCGTGGTTTAGAGTCTTTATATGGTAGTTTGATTGAAGGGCTCTGTCTTGTTTACTAGATGCTAAGTGATTGCTTACTTGTGGGCTCCCCAGTAATAACTGACAGTGGTCACTGTAGAGAATACTGTGTTGAATAAGGTAAGTGTTTGATATAAGTCAATTGGGCTGCTCTGAGCTACAGAGGAGAAATTTCCAGATTGGTTTCAGCTGGAATTCACAACCCAGTTTTACAGGATGAAGAAGCTTGGCATGGCACATCCTTTATTGCATTTATATGGCATTGGGGTGGGGCACTTACATTCATACTTGTCTTCCTTCCAAGTAATTATAGAACATGCATCTTAGTTGTACGGGAGAATGGAGAAGCAAAGGGACAAGATGGAATTATGAAACATGGAAGAAGGAAAGGATGTGGCAGGCATGTCAGTCAAAGTCTTCTGAGATAATCAGTAAATATATATATTTCTAATCTTGCCAATGTACAAGATTAAAAACTTGTCAGGATCTTTGGCAGTGCCTAAAACTGAAAGTGACTAACAGAATAATAGAATTGGAAGAGACCTTAGAAGTTTTCTAGTCCAATCCCCTGCTTTAGCAAGAAACTCTATATAATTTCAGACAAACGGTTCTCCAATCTCTTCTTAAAAACTTCCAGCGCTGGAGCATCCATAACTTCTGGAGGCAAGTCATTCCACTGGCTAATTGTTCTAAGTGTCAGGAAATTTCTCCTTGGTTCTAAGTTGGTTCTCTCCTTGATTAGTTTCCATCCGTTGCTTCTTGTCCTGCCTTCAGGTGCTTTGGAGCAAGGGTTTCCAACCTTGGCAACTTTACGACTTGTGGACTTCAACTCCCAGAATTCGTCAATCACCTGGCTGAGGAATACTGGGAGTTGAAGCAGGGGTGAAATCCAAAATTTTTCCCTACCGGTTCTGTGGGCGTGGCTTGGTGGGTGTGGCAGGGGAAGGATATTGCAAAATCTCGATTCCCACCCCACTCTGGGGCCAGCCAGAGGTGGCATTTGCTGGTTCTCCAAACTACTCAAAATTTCTGTTACTGGTTCTCTAGAACCTGTTAGAACCTGCTGGATTTCACCCCTGAGTTGAAGTCTACAAGTCGTAAAGTTGCCAAGGGTGGAAACCCCTGCTTTGGAAAATAGCTTGACTCCCTCTTCTTTGTGGCAGACCCTTAGATATTGGAACATTCAGGGGTGGGTTCTACTTATCTTTACTACTGGTTCGCAACGGGATCATGCACACTCGCTCGCTTCATTCGCGCATGCACAGATCGCCAATGATAACATCTGGGGCAGTGGGAGGGGCCTCCCACCGGTTTTACTACCGGTTCTTGCGAACCAGTCCGAACCGGGGGCAATACCCACCACTTTCCAAGCATGAGTCTCACCGACTGTTTTTAGCAACATTTATTGAGATGAATGGGATGAGGTTATGAGAATCTCAGCAACTCTTTCCCACTTAAATCCAAGATATTTGCAGGTGAAGAAGTTTTTCTGACATTCTTCCTATGATACAGCAGGAAGACAAGTCTCTTTACTAATAATGATGGAGATTGCAACTGGCTGTTTACATAATGGCTTTCTGGGTGTTCATGTTCCTGAGAACCATCTACTAAAAGACTCCTATGAGTCACTTTGGAAAACGAAATGTGTTAATGAATGTATTTTTAGAGCAGTGGGAAAATTTTGCAAAGCCATCAGGAAGGTTGATTTCAAAGGAGGCCCTTTGATGTGATGGCGATCTCAGCTTTGGAAGCCATATTAGGCCGGAAGCTTCGATGCTGCTACCTTCTCATGTGTGGGAAAGTAGGAGGGGGGTTTAGTAGAGGGGTTGTCTGTAGACATAATAGCATTCTTCCTGTGGGTCAAGGTCAGGGCGATCCTGCATCTGGAGAAGGAGTGGTCGGAGTGATGTCTCGAGATGGGACGGCGGTTGATTGGAGCATGTGATCGACTGAGGAGTGAGGGGACAGTTTTGGGGTTTTTGATTTACTGAGGGAAAACCCGGACCTCTCAGATTCGGGTTTTCCCAGATGTGCCAGTTTACCTTTTCTAGTAAACAGAACTTTGAAAAATGTTTGCTTCAGAGTCTTTACTTGGAGTTGGGGTTTTTCTGGAAGGCTGACCGGTGAACCTTTTCGGCGCTGAGTACCAAAAAGGGAGAGTGCGTTTGCGGTCGTCTGGGCCGCAACCCAGAATAGGAGCTGCCTATTGCCCGACAATAAACTTCCGGTTTCCGGCACATGCATGCCTGCCGGCCAGCTAGTCTTCCAGGTTTCTGGTGCAAATGCATGTGTGACAATCAGCTGACTGGCATCCATGATCACACAGGAAAATGGAAGACCAACTTTTCCAGTTTCCGGCACTGCAGCACACACAAAGGCCCACTGATCGTCGTGCATGCATGCATGTCAGAAATCTGGAATAGGAACGGGTGGTGCAATGCGTGCCAGGCGACATGGCTCTGGGTGCCACTTTGGGCACGTGTCAGGGATGAAGTCCTGCAGGTTCTGACAGGTTCTGGAGAACCAGTAGCGGAAATTTTAAGTAGTTTGGAGAACCGGCAAATACCTCTGGCTGGCCCAGAGTGGGGTGGGAATGGAGATTTTGCAGTATCCTTCCCCCAGGAGTGGGGAAGGAATGGGGATTTTTGCAGTATCCTTCCCCTGGAGTGGGGTGGGAATGGAGATTTTGCAGTATCCTTCCCCTGCCATGCCCACCAAGCCACGCCACGCCCACCAAGCCACACTCACAGAACCAGTAGTAAAAAAAATTAGATTTCACCACTGGCACGCATGCCATAGGCTCGCCATCACGGCCCTATGGAATCACTCTTAGTCTGTTGTTCAAGTGACAGGTAAAGCACTCACCTGATATTTGGCTAGGAGTTTGCTCCTCCAAAGTGAATGAGGGATGTCATGAACCGAGAGGCGCAAATTGTGATAACTGTCCTTAAACAGTAGAGGCTTGGGCTCTTCTAACAGATAGCCGCCAAGAGTCCTTTCTATTTCAAGCACTTCCTATGGGACAAGCAAAACAAAAGCAAAAACACCGAAAAGTAAAAAAGAAAGCAATTTAATTGGGAAAGTGACACAAAATAGGTGAGACAGAGAAGGGGCCATGAAATGGGCTGCAGTTCATGACAGCTGGTGTATAAATATACCCTGTAATAGCCTTCCTCAGAGGCATCTTCCAGATAGGCAGTTCCCAGAACTTCCGTCTAACAAGGCCAAACTAACCTTCAAAGTTTGGGAAATCCTGTTCCAACTGAGACAGGAGATGCCAGGTTGAAGAGAGCTGATGTATGTGACTCTTTGTATTTCTAGGTTTTCCAGTTTGAGTTTCCATGCTTGTTGGAGTATTTGATACATGTGAATTTCCAGCAGTCTACAAAATGCATCTTGATATCTCTTTGAATAAGTCAATAAATGTTTGAGCAAGTTAACAGCAAGGTCTCTTTCTCTCTCTAAGACAGGGGTGTCAAACTCAAGGCCTTGGTAGTACAGGGGTTTAAGACACCCTGTTATTAAGCTGGTTATTAAGATCAGCTGCCTGCAATTACTGCGGGTTCGAATCTCGCCAAGGCTCAAGGTTGACTCAGCCTTCCATCCTTTCTAAGGTAGGTGAAATGAGGACCCAGTTTGTGGGGGCAATAAGCTGACTTTGTATAAATATACAAAAGGATGAAGGCTATTGCTGAGCACATTGTAAGCCGCCCTGAGTCTTCGGAGAAGGGCGGCATATAAATCAAATTAAAAAAAAAAAAAAAGGCCCGGGGTGTGGGGTGCTTAGATCTGGCCCATGGAGCCACCCTGGAACCAGCGAAGGAGTGGCCTGCGGTGCCTCTGCCAGTGAAAATGGAGTTCGGAAGGACCGCACTGGCAGAGGGTTGCAGGAGGCAGTCACAGCCGAAAACGGAGCTCAGGAGCCCGTTTTCTTTGGCAGAGCGCTTGGGCCACCACAGGCGTCCCTGACATGAGTGATGCCAAGCTGGCCATGTCCACTCTGGCCACGCCCCCTCCATTCCCTCCCCAAAGTCAAACACAACCCTGATGCGGCCCTCAATGAAATCGAGTTTGACACCCCTGATCTAAGAGTACTTGACTTTGCCTATCTTGGGCACCAGGTATCCCTTAATATTTTGCAATCTTTTCTAATGCTCTAAAGCAGAGCTCTTCAAACTTGGCAACTTTAAGACTGGTGGACTTCACCAGTCTTAAAAGTTGCCAAGTTTGGAGTGCCCTGCTTTAAAGCCTGTCAAACGTGCAGATGCTAAATTTAACTCAATCCCATCCAGCTATACTAGTATGCCATGCCTTCATATGCCATAACTCAAACCAAATCAATGTTCACTTGGGAACATCAATAATCTCATTATGACTTATTTATTTCAGCTCATTTACATAGTCTTCTTCATAATGCAGTTTTCTCCCTTCCCTAAAAATAATAATAAAAAATAGCAATAATGAAAGCACCCATGTTATATTTGCAACCTTCACAACGTTATCCTGATCAAAGTTTTATTCGAGGAGCGAACAGGTAGAGCTCATTGCCTGAAGGCATTCACCTCCATTCCTCGTATATACCATTACAACCTTCGATTTCTTGAGCCATGTCCTTTATTAAAAATGGAAAAAGATAATTTCCAGACTCCTTTTTTTTAAAAAAAGCTATTTTAACCTGGGGGTTGGGATGGGAGTGGAGAGGTTGAGTGCCAGTTGTGACATCAAGATTAAAACGCACAACACAATAACGCCCGAAATACCAGCTTGGTGTGTTGATTGCTGGAACTAATCACTTTGGTTGGTAGATGGAGGCAGATGGAGATTTATACTTCATTAAGAATGATAGGTCACTTTCATTAGGCATGCAAAGTGGTGCTAACATTATTGATAGGCTTTGAAAATAACTTGACAATAGGTATTTTCAGAGGAATAGCAACTAAGCAGTTTCTGGTGGTTTCTTCAAAACTGGCCTTTACACTTTGATCACAAAGAAAACTCGGCTATATTAAAAACCACAAGAAAACCTATTCTGGACTTGTTTAACTTGTGACTTGCTGTCAAGGGCAGACTGGGTCATATACAAATGCAAATCAGAATGTGTGTTCCTTGGTTCCATAGCCTTCAGATCACCTCTTGACATTGGAAGCTGGAAGGGGATGTTAAAATGATAAATGATGCCATTACATTAATTAGATGAAGACCTTATAGAGAAAAAACCCATATTTAGGCCAGAACCTGACCAAATCAAGACAGACTGGCAGTGGCCATCAGACAGGTCAGGCTAGTGACTTCCTCACGGTCGTACAATTTGACATCTTTTATCCAAAGACTGATGTGAAATCTTCTGCAGGCCAAGAATGTGCTCGACACACCATTAAGTGGTTATCTACCAACTTACACAGGGATTATGAATCATTTTTTTAATATTTCTCTTGAACCCTGAAAAGTAAGGAATTAAAGTGCAACTGAAAGATCATAAAGGTAAAGGTTCCCCTCGGACATATGTGCTAGTCGTTCCTGACTCCAGGGGTTGGTGCTCATCTCCGTTTCAAAGCTGAAGAGCCAGCACTGTCTGAAGACGTCTCCGTGGTCATGTGGCTGGCATGACTAAATGCCAAAGGCGCACGGAACGCTGTTACCTTCCCACCTATTTTTCTACTTGCATTTTTTTAACGTGCTTTCGAACTTCTAGGTTGGTAGAAGCTGGGACAAGTAACGGGAGCTCACCCCATTACGCGTTAATACTAGGGATTCGAACCACTGAACTGCTGACCTTTCGATCAACAAGCTCAGTGTCTTAGCCACTGAGCCACTGTGTCCCTCCTTATGATGAAAGATCATAATAAGTAGCTAATTCAGTTTTCCTGAACAGATACAATCAGATATACAGTTTACTACATCCAAAATTGCCATCCATCAGAGAGCATTTGGTCATGATGTCAGAAGTTCGCAAAAGCTGATCAAATAACCCCGGGACACTGCAACCATCATAAATATGAACCAGTTGCCAAGGAGCTGAATTTTGATCATGTGACCATGGAGATGGGGCAATGGTGGTAAGTATGAAAAATGGTCATAAGTCACTTTTTTTCAGTGCCATTGTAACTTGGAATGATCATTAAATTTATTTGTTTTAATTTATTTGTTTTAATTTGTATACCGCCCTTCTCCAGCTGACTGTTCCAAATGAACTGTTGTAAGTGGAGAACTACCTGTATGCAATGTAGATTATGAAAGGTTCTTATCCTAAGTCAAAGGCAATGGAATAATGTGATTTTCAGCGCTTGTCTATGACTTTGATGACTTAAGAAATATTTTAAACAGGAAAATTCATCTCCTTTCTCAAATTTTCCTTGGTTGAAGAGCCTCTAGCTAAGATTCTGTGCAGTTCGGAGAACCCCCAAATCCCATTCTTGGCTGGCCCCGCCCACCCCGCCCCTCCCAGGAGTCTCCACACGGCCCGTTTTGGATGCAGGTAAGTGCACGGCATGTGCGGAGGCTTGGGGAAGGCGAAAAACAGGCCTACCGGAAGTATGGGAAGGCCAGAAACGGGAGGCCGTTTTCGCCCTCCTGGAGGCTCGAGGAAAGCCTCAGGAGGCCGACTAGGCCACACCCACCATGGCTATGCTAACCCAGCAACTGGACAGAGAACCCCTTGCTAAAATGTTTGATTAGTAATAATAGCAAAAATGTATTTGCCGTGCAAAAAACTATGAAAAACTAAGTTACTTTTTCTTATAATCTTCAAACTAGGACACAAAATAGGTCCTGCAATACTTCCTTTCTCCTCCTGGGAGCTTCATGGAAAATGTCAGGGCTGCTCCCTAAGGAATGGGTTAAAGGAACTTATTATTGAAACTAAACTCTGGGTCACTTTTCAACTCATTGCATCAGGCTGTTTTGCTCCCCTGAGTCACTACTTTTCTAAATCACACTGCATGCTTGGATTATCAGCAAGACTTCTTTGGGGCAGAGAAGTCTAAAATAAGTACAAACGAGAGAGCTGGACAAGAAGTACTAGCAACCAATTTTCTTGAATAAATTATTATAGCTTTTTTTTTAAAAAATGGGAAAGCTAACCGTATAGAAGTAGAAAACAAAGACAAAAGCGTTTCTAAAAGGGGCAGGTATTTAAAGATGAAAATTCAAAAATGGATAATCTTTCGATCACCACTTTAACTGTTTGCATAATTAATATTATGCAAACTCAATCCATTTCTATGGAACACAAGAATATACATAGAGAAATCCAGCAACTTTTATGCATGATGAACTAATCTTTAGTTTATGGGACACATCGTCCCCTTCTCCGGTCCTAATGAAAATACACAAAGAAATTTAGAACATTTATTAGGAACTTAGATTCTTGTGCATTTCAGGAGGCAAGGGTGGTTCAGATATAAATCTATTTGTATTACTTGATGTAATTTAAATGAAGTCTTATGCAAAATTTCCCAGATCTAATACTGTCTACCTCCTCCATTACAAATGTATGACCTAATCCTTGATCATTGGCCATACAGATTGGGATGAGTCCAGTGAAACAAAGAATGACAATAGACTGAGGAAGTTGGTCTAATAACTGAAGGTCCTGTTTTGAAGACTTTTGGGTCTGGAAGCTCTAATAATTATATCCACCTCTATTTCTCTCATTGAAGGACATACATAGATATATCAATTATTATTATTAGCGTATGGCACTATTATAGTAGCCAGGAGACCCCAATGCTATTGCAAAGTACTAAGTACCTACGGCTTGCCAAGGTACCAACCCTATTATAGGAAATGCGCTCTTCCCAAGATGTGCCACAGGAGGGCAAGCCAGCTTTACATCACAGAGAAAGATGAGCGGCTTTTCCTTCAGCTTCACCCAAGGGCTCCACCCTTCCTGGAGCTGCCTTGCAAGCAGTGGTACAACCGGGAATGTTCAGAGCCATCAGGAATCTGCCTACCTGCACAGAGCACCAGCTCGTCTCCCCATCAATGTGCTACCTATTTTATCTACTCGCATAGAACATGCTTTCGAACAGCAAGGTGGGTATAAACTGAGGCAAGTGATGGGAGCTCATCCCACCACCCACTTGCTAGGACTCAAACCGCCAGAGCTGAGACCATCGCCATCTTCATTAAGCCATTGAGCCACCGCGCCTTATAGATATACCAATGGAAAATAGCTCAGTTGGTAAAACTTTGTGTCGATCTTGTAGGCATCTACATTTCAACTTCTGCAATGTGGCTACTGGTGAAATTTAATAGTGGATGATAAGCCAAGGCAAAGATGATTAAAGCGCAATTCCAATTACACCATTGCTGCTTTGATCCACAAAACCATATGAGATACATTTGTGATTTTTTTCCCCCTTGTAATTATACATATGTCAGGTCTCCGTTAAAGCCGTACGGAGCAAACATCACTTTGCAGAGTCTAAGATAAGCAACTCATCATTCAATGTCATGAAGGAAAAATGCCCTCTATGGTCTGAGGATTTTCTTAATAGGATCACAAATATGTTCTGCAATCACTTTCCATAACTCAGTGTCCTCAAGGTGAGTTGTCATAAAATTCATATCGCACCCAGACAGCTTAGGCAATGGACTAGGAAATCTGGAATTACAATCCAATACGTTGGGAGAACCCCCAGATGGAGGAGGCCTTGCTAAAATCTTCATTAATCTGTTTGTGTATGTGCAAGAAAAGTATGAATTATTTATTGATAGGACAGAGGACAGGGAAGGGGAAAGAAGGAAGAACCTCAGCTAGGCATTACCTTTAAAGCATCAGGTGTGTCCTCCAAGCAATATACTTTGAGATTGTATTCCAATGAAGTACAGAGGGTGGGAGCAAAGATGGCCAGCTGCAGTCTCTTGATGGCAGACCTAGAATAGGATTCTCCCACCAGGACGTATGTTCCAAGCTGTTCTAGCAGGATATGGCAACACTTCGGTTCCAGCTGGCAGTAACAAGGTGTGTTTAAAGTCTCTTCGTCTAGCGTCACAACTTCCTGGAGGAGGAAAAGAGGGCAAGAAGGGATTAAAAACATTGTAAGTCCCACCTGGAGGCCCATTTTAAGGAGTACCTACTGAAAAATTTGCCTCCCCAATTATGAGAGCTGTACAAGTTGTGTCCTTTAAACATAGAAATGACTGAATGCGATAAGAAAAGCTAAGATGAATACTTAATTTTGGAGTTAAGACACTTTGCTGATTGACATGTCCTATATTTTGGAGACTGCAATTTGCATTCGCAAATGTGAGCGCGCGCGCCTCCTCCACACATGCGCAGAGCACTGGTGGGTTGCTTCCGGTTTGCACCGGTTCAGGAGAACCGGTAGTAGTGGTGGCGGGAGGCTCCGCCCACCTGCCCGGAAGTCATCAAATACGCTCTGCGCATGTGCAGAAGTAGCACGGGTGTAAGCGAACCGGTAGCAAAAGTAAGTAAAACCCACCACTGGCGCAGAGTCTTCTGCGCATGCGCAGAGGGTCAAAAATGGGATGTGATGACATCCGGACGGGTGAGGGGAGCCTCCCGCCACCGGCGCTACCGGATCGCGCGATCCGGATAGAGCTGGATGAATTTCACCACTGCTGCAGTTGATTAAACTCACTTTGGAAAATGTGGTCTGTAATGTTTGGAAGGGTTATGTAGGAGTTTCCATCATTCTTACATAAATTTGACCTGCTGTATTACCAGGAAGTATTAATATTACTAAATACTATTACACAATATTACACTTTCTAGCTACACTGAATACTGTTGTGTAGAATAGAAATGCTGGTCTTTTCTGAGTTTGCTTCCCCAGATGTGATAGAACTACAATCACCTTCATCCAGTGGTGGGATTCAAATAATTTAACAACTGGTTCTTTGCCCTAATGACCGGCTGGGTGGGTGTTGCCATGGTGGGTGTGGCCAGGGGGTATGACAGGCAGCAATTGGCCTCTTGCACCCCCTGGGAGCAAAAAAGGGCCACCGGGGGGCACCCCCCGTGCCCCATTTTGACCTTAATAGGCCTCCCTGCAGCCTCCTGGGAACCAAAGCGGGATGCGGGGGACTTCTGGAAGGGGAGGGGTGGGGCCAGCCAGTAATTTAACAACCGGTTCTGCCAAAGTGGTGCGAACCGGTTGAATCCCACCACTGCCTTCATCCCTAAATATTGACGATGCTGGCTGAGGCGGTAGAGGACTGTTTTCTTCATAACTACAGGGGATCTAGAATTAGGAATAAAATTGCTAAATACTCAAGTGGTGTTTTTGTAAAGAAGTAAAGATGATTAAAAATAGATATTTGAATATTGAAAAATAACTATAAAATAATGCTTTACAATGTGAAAATAAATCTTCACTATCCAATAGTATAGGGTTTACTACATGAGCAGGGAGTTGGATAGAAGATCTGCAAGATGCCTTCCAGCTCTGTTATTCTGTCAAATAATTGAATTGCTCCACAGATGGATAAACAACATATACTCTCCCTTTTTATGACCCTCTAATCCCTTAATTATTCAGGGCAGAGTTGGGAGGGGCAAGGACTGGATGGAGCTCAGCTTTTACTGGCCGGATGCCCTTCCTGATGCCATGCAGAGTTCGCAGCAGATATTTTTTTTTGTGTGCTCTAGGAGAGAAATATCTGCCGCTACTGAGGATTGAACTCTCAACCTCCTGAGTGGAAGATGAGTATCTTCACCACTAGGCCACCATGCTGCTTGGATAAGCAACATACATGGAACACTTGGGATTATAACCTCTTCTGTAAGACTTCACTCCAATATCATCATCAGCAGCAGCAGTAGCAGCAATAGAACTTAGACTTATATAGCGCTTCATAGTGCTTTTACAGCCCTCTCTAAGCGGTTTACAGAGTCAGCCTATTGCCCACAATAATCTGGTCCCTCATTTTACCGACCTCGGAAGGATGGAAGGCTGAGTCAACCTTGAGTCGGTGAGATTTGAACTGCTGAACTGCAGCTAGCAGTCAGCTGAAGTAGCATGCAGTGCTGCACTCTAACCACTGCACCACCTCGGCTCTTTATCATCACCATCACCACCATCATCATCATGTACTTCTCTGATTAATTCAACTTACCTCCCAGTGTCCTTGGTGGGACTGGGTCTTCAACTGCAACATCCAGTCTGGGGAAATGACCTCTGCACAATGTGGAACAGTCAAGATGACTGGGCGGCATAAGAGCAGCCCCGTAGGACCACAGGTCACTCTGGGACTCAGTACTGTCTGTGTGCCTTCAGAGGGAAAGCTAGAAAGGACAAACACAAGAAACTTTTGTTGGCTCCGTGGAACTCTGCTTGCAGAGTAATCGGCTTAGAAACGCAAAAGGATATCTGAGACAATGGAACTCCATATTGCCGTGATGGCAAACCTATGGCACTCGTACCGGAAATAGCACGCAGAGCCATCTCTCTGGGCGCGCCAGCTGTCACCTGTTGCTCTTCTGGGTTCTGGCGCACACATGCACACCAGCCAGCTGGTTTTCACGCTCGCGGGAGCTCCAGAAACTGGAAGAGCAGCGCCCTGGTGCACATGCACACACCTGGAAGCTGAGCTTTCGGTTTCTGGGGTGTGCATGCATGCCGGCCAGCTGGTCTTTGTGCGCCAGAAACCGGAAGACCAGGTGACTGGCACGCATGCATTTGCTGGAAGTTCTGCTTCTCGGTGCGCACATGCGCACAGGGGAACTGCTCTTCTGGTTTCTGGTGCTCCCGCATGTGCGCACCGGGGAGCTGCTCTTCCGGTTTCTGGCACTTCTGCACGTGCGTGCTGGGAAGCTGCTCTTCCGGTTTCCAGCACTCCCCCATACGCATGTAGTCCCACTCCCGTTTCATCATCCAGTGCTGAAAAAATTTGTCAACAGTGCCATATTCTTTAGCAGGAACAAGACAGAGTGGAGTACTGAAGTTAATGCATACCGTGCTGCTGCTGAAATTCACAACTGTTAACAAATGTAACATTCTGTTATTTTCAAAGTGTGAAATATTCTTTTTCTTGAACCATCATAATATTTAAGTGAATAAATCATTGTTATTTTTCCTTGTCCTGAATCATTTTTCTTGTCTTTATCCCAAGCACTTTTCTGACCTAATTTGCTGAATACATGTGGCCCCATAGTGCTTAGCTCATCCCAGCCCACAGGGTTGTTGTTGTTGTAAAAATAGGAGGAAGGTGTATTGGATATGTTTGCTGCTTTGAGTTATTTGTAAAAATAATAAAGGTGGGATACAAAAAAATAATAATTAATAATGTCAGCCTAAACTCAACTCAGAAAGTCAGAATCCTATGATTTCAGTAAGGCGCTGGTAGCTTTTTCAGTTTAGGTCAGAGGTGGGTTTCAGCAGGTTCTGACCAGTTCTGGAGAACCGGTAGTGGAAATTTTGAATAGTTTGGAGAACCGGTAGTAAAAATTCTGACTGGCCCTGACCCCATCTGTTCTCTGCCTCCCAAGTCCCAGCTGATTGGGAAGAAATGGTGATTTTGCAGTATCCTTCCCCTCGAGTGGGGAGGGAATGGAGATTTTATAGTATCCTTCCTCTGCCATGCTCAGCAAGCCACACCCAGCAAGCCATGCCCACAGAACCGGTAGTAAAAATTCTGACTGGCCCTGACCCCATCTATTCTCTGCCTCCCAAGTCCCAGTTGATCAGGAGGAAATGGGGATTTTGTGGTAACTTTCCCCTGGACTGGGGTGGGAATGGAGATTTTACAGTATTCTTCCCCTGCCACGCCCACCAAGCCATGCCATGCCACGCCCACCAAGCCACATCCACAGAACTGGTAGTAAAAATTGTTAAAATCCACCCACCACTGGTTTAGATGTATATGTTACCAACTGCAGGCCATGCTATGAGAGTTGGTTCATTACATTTGGAAGACACATAGTCAGGAAAGGGTGTTTTTAAACAATCTAACTGTAGCTACGGTTCTTGGCTGGAAATTTAGAAGAAGTAGTTTGAGCAGAATATGTCTAACAGCCACAGGACCGTGCAACCAGTTATCGAGGGGATTAAGTTATCTGCACTTTTAATTTCTTCTGTTAGGAGTTGGAATTGAGTAAGATAATTTTGAATATTGAGACTCACGTGCAAGAAAATTGCCTTGAATCTAGTTTGGCATGCTAATATTTGAAGATAAATGCACGTATGAAGATGAGGAAGACTGTTCTAAAATAATATAATAAAAAGAAACCTTATCTGGATATCCTGTAATTGGATATCACTTTTAAGGCTTAGGGAGGTCAGAGTAAAAAAAAAAAAAAAAGACAAGATACATGATCTAGTCTACTTACAGAATATTTTCTGCTTTGTTGATCATCAGATACATTTCATAGAACTTCCCCTGAGGAATTGCTCCATGCGGCACTAATAGACTCACACCTACAAAAGGAAAAAAAAAAAAAAGGAATAGATGAAATAATGGAGAACATTTCCTAGAGCGTCACTCTATGTCTATTTCTCTGCAGCTAAATGATATAATTCTTAATTCCATAGAATACTTTATACAGCCTCTTCTGTTTTTTTCATAATTAATATCTGATGGCTCTGTTCGCCCTCCTGAATTGGGCTGCAGGAAAGAAGTCAGGATGAGTTGCAACTGACCCATCCTACAATCACTGTATCCCCCAGCAAACCTCCAAGAAAGTTCATAATCTGGTTTTTTTTTAGCTATCACCTTCATATGGGGAACTATGTCTAATTATTCTGAAGAAATGAATATGGCTTAACAATGTTTTTATTAGCTACATCTTTGATGGTGACTATAGACACTACCCTAATTATCTTGTAAGAATGATGCCTTTGGTATAAATATTGTATAATAGCATTTCAACCGTTTACACCATCATTTATTTTTCCAATCTATTTGAAAGAAAATCCATGGAATGGGGAAAGCTATTTTTAACAGTCTGGCAGTCAAAGATCTTTTGTTGAAATTCTTGTAATAACTTACAGTAGTGGCCAAAATTGTGGAAACCTTTTGGGAAAAGTGTATTTTTGAGCTTTGATAGTGGCTAATAACACCACTGTTTTTTGGAGTTTCAAGATAATCATATTCCACTGCTGGAATGGCCTGGGAATAGCCCAGACCTTAACCCAATTGAAAATCTATGGAGCTTACCGACTAAAGAAACTTGTTAGTCAGAAGCGACCCAACAATAAACAATAAAACAGAAGCAATAATTCAATCTTGGTTTCACATTATAACAGCTGCAGAACTAAAAGACTTGGTTCACTCTATGGGAAGACATTGTAAGGCCATAATTCATGCTAAAGTTTACCCACCTAAGTGGTAACTGACATGGTGATAATTTCTGTATAGCTCGTTTTTTCTATGATGATAATTTTTGTATATCTCGTTTTTTCTACGTGTTTTACTTTTCTTCTTTATACTGTAACTGCTATTCTAATAGCAAATCCTTCACAAACGTTATTGCATTACATTCTTGATTAAATTATCTTTCCATTGATATATAATTTTATGATACTACTCCCCAAAAAAGTGGTGTTATTAGCTAGTTTTAGAAAATACACTTTTCCCAAAAGGTTTCCACAATTTTGGCCACTACTGTAAATAATCCCAACAACTGTATTCTCAGTGTCTGTCTGAGGTTAATAATGGGCTACTTTGAACTACACATCCTGTAAAAAAAGATGGAGGTACAATATGGGGAAAAGAGTTTTATCTCTGAATTCCAAAGAAATTGCTGCTCTTGATACAGGTTCATTAGAACATCAGGAGACCTCTTTGATTTCATATGTCAGCAAGAATAGAATAGAATAAAATGCTAATTTCCAGAAAAGGAAACTGTAATTCAAAGTGAGACTTCCAAGTATAACTTCCAATTCAGAATTCAAGGCAGTATGGGAAAGGTGGTACAAATGGTGGAATAATAGAATGAGATTGTAAGGATATGTTTATTTTCAATAATGGTAGATTCGAAGATATTTGATATGTATATAATGTAAATATGTAATTGCACGACACCTCAGTTGTTAACAGAGATTTGATGTTTTCTTTTTAAAAATTTTTTTTAAAATCAATAAAGTATTTAAAAAAAAAAGACTTCCAAGTATACTAGTAATACAGGTAGTCCTTGACTTACAACCACAATGGAGCCTAAAAGTTCCATTGCTAAGTGGAACATTTGTTAGGTAAGTTTTGCCTCATTTTACAACCTTTTTTTGCCATAGATGTTAAGTGAATTGGTGCAGTTGTTAAGTTAGTGACACGCTTCTTAAGTGAACTTGTCTTCCCCATTGACTGCTTGTCAGAAAGTCGCAAAAGGGGATCACATGACACCAGGATACTGCAACCGTCATAAATATGAAACAGTTGCCAAGCTCCTGAATTTTGATCACGTGATCATGGGGATACTGCAAGGGTCATTAAATGTGAAAAATGGTTGTGTCCCTTTTTTTCAGTGCTGTTATAACTTTGAAGGGTCATTAAATGAATGGTTATAAGTCAAGGACTACCGGTATAGCAAAGATTCAATTGGGCTCAAAGACCTCAGAGGAGTGTATTAGCTGTTTAGAGCTGTCCATGGTTCTGAAATTCAAGGAGACCACTGGGAATCAGCTTGAAATCCTGAATCTCCGGAATCTCATTGACAAGGAACAAGAGGAACTGTGGAATGAGCTTAAACGAGCTGTTAAGGATGACCATGAAAACAGTCCTCCAAAGATAAAGATACAGAAGAAGTAAAACTAGATGCCAGAATAAACTGTGGAAATTGCACAAAAGAGAAGAGAAGCCAAAGACTTATGCATGCAGACTCCTAAGAATACTGTGGACAGCCCAGAAAACAAATGGATCGACAAAGAAATCAAATCAAACCAGAGTTCTCATAAGAGACACAAATGACCAGGCTCAAATTATCTTACTTCAGATACATTATGCAAAAACCTGGTACTCTAAAGAAGGCTCTTAACACCGAGAAAGATGGAAGGAAAGAGGATGACCAGCAGCAAAGTGGCTGGGCTTGGTTACACTGGCAATGGGTACACCTTTGGAAGTCTTGTTGAGGATTGGCACTGACTTAACGTAATGGACAGTTTTTCCCTGAATGCCATCACTCTGCTAAACAAATAATTCCCTCAACACTGTCAAACTATTTACTAAGTCTGCACTACTATTTAATCTTCTCATCGTTCCCATCACCCATCTCCTTCCACTTTATGATTGTATGACTGTAACTTTGTTGCTTGTATCCTTATGATTTATACTGATGTTGTTCCTAATTGCTTATTTGTACCCTATGACTATCATTAAGTGTTGTACCTTATGATTCTTGATGAACGTATCTTTTCTTTTATGTAGACTGAGAGCATATGCACCAAGACAAATTCCTTGTGTGTCCAATCACACTTGGCCAATAAAAAAATTCTATTCTATTCTATTCTATTCTATTCTATTCTATTCTATTCTATTCTATTCTATTCTATTCTATTCTATTCTATTCTAATGGCGGGCACAGTGGCCTAGCAGTTAAGACATTGGGCTGTTGACCAGACGGTTGGTAGTTCAAGACCCAAGTACTGCATGATGTGGCGAGCTCCTGTTCTTGCCCCAGCTTTTCCCAACTAGCAGCTTGAAAGCATGCAAATGTGAGTAGATAAATAGGTATCATGTTGGTGGGAAGGTAACAGCATTCCATGTGCCTTGGCATATAGTCATGCCAGCCACGTGACCAAAGAAGCATCTTTGGACAACTTTGGCTCCCTCAGCTAGGAAACAAAGATGACCACTGTCCCTTAGAGTCACACATGACTGGGCAGAGGAAACCTTATAACCGACTTAATGTCCCATAATCAATCAATTCATGGTTCTGAAATCGCCTGTTCTGCTATTCTCTCGGACTGTGGCTTCATCACGGGGCTGAGTGTTCATCTTGTAAAAAGTGTACCGTGTTTTCCCCAAAATAAGACCCTGTCTTATTTTTTAGGCACCAGGACTTATTTTTTTTTTTGGGGGGGGGGGGGGAGATGTCGTCCACTGACTTACCTTACTTGCACATGTCATTCCTGGCCTTCTTTTCACTGTCAGGGGCCTTCAAGAACTTCTTCGGCTGGCAAGGCCAGCAAGGCTTTCCTGAAGGCCTCTGTAGCTAATAACAGAGCTCCAGATCAATCCGGAGCTCTGCCTTCAGGAAAGCCTTGCCGGCTGCAGAAGAAATGGGCCAAGGTGTGCGAGGACTGGCTACAATTGTCCGAAGGTAAGTTGTAGGGAAGCTCCCCCTCATCTCCACCCTAGCTTAATTTTTTCCCGTGTACCCTGGAGAGGGCGGGGTCTTAATTAGGGCTTATTTTGGGGGTAGGGCTTATATTGGGCACATATGTAAAAATCAAGCTAGGGCTTACTTTTGGAGTAGGTTGTATTTTCGGGGAAACACGGTATTCCTTACCTGTTCCAGGGATGATGAGCCTTCCTCCCAGGCTGCCGAATGTCCCTGTGGCACTATTCCCAGGATCTCGAGGCAGAGTCAGGAGCTGCTGGGAGCCCATGCTTTTGTTTCTTAGGTTCATGAAATGGTTATCCCTGTGGCTGTCTCCGGGAAAGGTGCCTGGGGGCATGACTCCTAACAGGTCTGCTCCTTCATGCATCCCAGTGGAGGAGGATGCTGTGGAGGAATTATACACTTTGATCTTGAGATTAGGGAGTGGATCAAGCAATGGAGAGTTGGTCATGGGGATCTTGTCAGAGGAATCTTGCAAGGCATACATAGGACCACGATATACACCGGCATTGGCAGTTAGATCAGGCTGCACTGAAGGGTGGAGCAACTGGGGGGTATCTGAAAATGAAGGCAGGGAAATGTTTAATAGCCTGTAAGCATTTTCAATAAAGGGAAATGTAATATAATAAGAAAGCACACATTGAATTAACCGCAACTAGTTTCATCTTGGTAACGAGTTGAAAAAAAAAAGCCTAAATAGTAAATCAAAACTGAACCTTGATTACCACTGCTATGGACATTAATAAATGTGTTGCCATAAAACAGCGAAGAGTAGAAAGGGCGATGTTTTTACCTGCAGCTTTTGCGTTGATCAGTTAAACAAGCTACTAAATATTCAGCTGTATATCTGTTAACTTTATGCATTTCATAGAATTTATGCCAACAGCATACTCAAGCATATGTTTCATAAAATACTAAAACACCTAATTCGTATCGTATAATATCTCTCAGACACAGAAAACGTAGCAGCATTCCTTAGAATCTTTAAATGCAAACATATTGATCATGTCAGAAATTTTTGGGGACTTGATTCCTTTTCACCAGATGGAATCTGAATCTGATGCAATCAACAGGTCTGCAGTTATTTACTGTATGCTGGCCTTTTTCTAATCTGGTGCCTTCCAGATATATTAGGTTACATTTTCCTTTATCATGTTAGCTACGATCAGTGGTGGGATTCAAATAATTTAACAACCGGTTCTCTGCCCTAATGATCGGCTGGGTGGTTTGGCCATGGTGGGCATGGCCAAGGGGTGTGACAGGCAGTACTCGGCCTCCTGCACCCCCCTTGGAGCAAAAAGAGGCTGAGGGGGGGGCTGCCACGTCCACCACGCCCCATTTTGGGCCTAGTAGGCCTCCCTGCCATCTTCTGGAAGCAAAAACAGGCTGTGGGGGTGTTAACAACTGATTCGCCCGAACCGGCTGAATCCCACCACTGGCTATGATGAAAGGGACTTCAGTCTAACATACTTGGGACATCAGGTTGAAAAGGGTTATTTCATTTCATATTTACAGCGCCATGAGTTTTTTTTTTTCCCTGTAGCAATACCACAAATTTCTCCTAAGAAAAACCGATACATAGAAAAAAAGAGGCATTTTATCTATTAAAATGTATCCAAGGAAGTTGGCATTACAGCAATGTAAGGTGAACAGGTCTGCCAATGAGATGGGTAGAGAAAGTTGTCTCATAATCATATGAAATCATAGACATTTTTACTTAAAAGGATCCTCCCCCTCCCCCTCCCCTATTTCATTTAACCTCTTTTGTTAATACTCTTACTGTTTTAATGGAAACTGTATTATGTAAAGAAATCAAGCACGTTCACCCCAGGTTGAAAAAAAGAAGAACAGCGGCCATCAGTTTAGGGGTGGGTTCTAATTTTTTTTACTACCGGTTCTGTGGGCGTGGCTTATTTTGTGGGCGTGGCTTGATGGTCATGTGACAATTATTTAGGATTTAGCAGAGGTACTGGGCTACCAGGCTTTTAACTGCTTGCAGAGCTGTACCAATCTACCCATTTATTTTTTGCAGGCACTAATCTACTCATGTATTTTTGCAGACACTGGTCTACTCATTTGTTTTCTTTTACCACTGATCAGCTGTAGGGCGGCCCTTTGAAGCCCCGCAGCAAGAGTTTAAACAGTTTTTTTCCCTCTAGTCATCAGCTGGGACTCAGGAGGCAGCAATAGATTGGGGGTGGGGCCAAATAAAAGGTAAGAATAACGCGGGGGGTGGGGGGGTACGGGGGGCAGAACCGGTTCGGTGACCTCATATTGTCAGCGCTACCGGCTCGGGAGAATTGGGCCGAACCGGGAGGAACCCACCACTGCATCAGTTCAAATCTCAGATTTGACCTCTGTCTGTCTGGCTAAGAAGGTTCACCAATACACAGAAGGTACAAAAACACATGAGGCAAACTTCAAAGCTGAACAAGCTGAACCTTACCGTTTCTGGAAGTTTTGAAATTAACTGGGTGGAAGCCTCCCGTTAATGCAGCAGAGGAGTCAGTTATGTCCGTGTCGAAATCCCGACAGTTTCGCCTATAAACAACCAGCCCAACAGCCATCAAGATAACAATGAAGACGAAAATGGCCACCACTATGCCAGCATACAAAGCCACATCGCCTGATGCCTCCAGTACTGGGAGGAGAGAGAGAGAGAGAGATTAATTAGAGTTGTCACTTTCCCTTTGCTCAGTTTCTAATTTAAAAACTTTCAATTAAACATAAGGATCAATGTCCCCAAAGGTGCTTTTTCCAAAAGGCCAAGAAAACCAAGAAAGTCCAGTTGCCTTTTAGAAAAACCACCTTCGGGATGATTGTGACCTGGATGATTGAGAATCTCCATAGACGTAAGGATCAAAGCCAAAAGATTCAAAATCAGTTACCGTATTTTTCGGAGTATAAGACGCACCTTTTTCCCTCCTAAAAGGGGGTGAAAATTTGGGTGCGTCTTATACACCGAATGTAGCCCCGCCCACCCACTGGCCCCCACCCTTTGGCCTCTGCCTCCCAGCAATTTACCTCCTTGCAGCAAGCAGCAAGAAGAAACAGCCCATTTCAGCTTCAGCACAGCCTGATTAGCACAAGTTGATTGTTGTACGAACAGGCTGAAGAACAGCTTTTATCCATGGGCTGTCAGACTCTTGAATGCAACATAACAGCAGAAGTATGTAGTATGATAGACTTGCAGGGCTGGCGCAACATGTTCATATTGGTGCAATATATTATAATGTAATGTGACACACATCTATGTATAGAGGATTGTGTGTTGTTAGTATGTTTTATTGGGTTAGGGATTTTCTCTCTTTCTCGGTGAGTTATTGATATGTATTTATGTTAGGGGTGGTGCAAGAAAAGGGAGGCTCAGCCAATCTCATTGTACACATGTTGTGCATTGACAATAAAGGCTGAATTGAATTGAATTAATTGAAGGTACATGACATTTCCATTTTTGGCTTTTTAAAAATATTTCTTGATCTTTTATTTTTATATGCATTTGGGATGGGAGGGCATTATTTTATATGTTGACATTATTAGCTACCTAGTGTCTTCAAGAATAGGAAGCACCCAAGCAAGCAAACAAAGAGATAAAAGTAGTAAGAGCCCTCAGGAAGCAAACTCCTGCCTTGAACTTCAGAAAGGACACAAGTGCATGGAAAAAAAAAATAATCACCAGTGATCTAAGAAAGCAAATACACAGAGGTGATCAGAGAATTGTGCACTTGGATGGAGCCATTGAATGCAGCCACCTCCTCAGAGAAATGTAGTAAGAGGGCTTTCAGTAGAAGGATTGGCTTGCTTGGTACATCATACTAAGTCATGGTTTGGATGTGGTTTATTGGTTGCAGTGTGACATAAAACATGGTCGCAAATCACAAGAGTTGCTCTGCATGCTACGTATACCAATCCCAAACAAACAACAAATAAACACGAAGCATGAATTTGAGCAGTGTTTTTTCAAACTTGGCAATTTTTCAGATGTGTGAACTTCAACTCCCAGGATTTTCCCAACCAGCCTGCTGGCTGGGGAATTCTGAGAGTTGAAGTCCACGCATCTGAAAAGTTGCCAAATTTGAAAAACACTGAATTAGAGCAATTCCTTCTGCAGGTTTCTCCTTGATTCGAGAAGAAAGCAGCGTTGAGTCCTGAGCAGCTGAGCTGGCAATTATATTTCCTGCATATGTGTTTCTTCCTCCCCCACTACCCCCGGTGGCTCCTGACTTCCACCTTTATAACTTCCTTGCTTGCATAAGTGGTATTTATGTCATAAACTATAGGCCTTAAACTCAGTCTCTGTGAGGTTCTTCAGATAAACCTACCAATCAGAACCAGAGAAAAAAAGAGACTACAGCACTTAAATGCAGTGGAATCTTCAGGCTACATAATTTTTTTTCTTCTAGCTGTGATCAGGTTTTGTTGTGGTCTGCCAGCAGCCTGCAGAGCTGGCAGCAGAGTCGGACAGTGGGGAAGGCTCAGACGAGGGCTCTGTGTCAAAGGCAGAGATGGGGCCAGGGCCATCTGGAAGTTATGTTCTGACTCCGGAGCCCCTGGAGTCTGAGGTCAGCGAGGCAGAGGAATAGGGGGAGCCTTTTCCCAGTGCGTGCATGCAAAGAAGGCAAGAGCAGTTAAGACAAAAGGGGCGACTTGGGAGTAAGGCTTGGAGATGATTGGCCTCTCCCATAAGACATAAAGGAGGAGCAAAGGCAAGTGAGCCTTTGCAGGAAGCAACTTTGTTTGTGCTGGTCGGTTTAAATTCTGAAGCTCCGTTTTGACTCTGTGCTCCGTGTGGCCTTGCAAAGCTAATTGCCAATTAGGTCTTTGGCAGCGTGTCAAGGGAGATAAAGGTGGGTGCTTATCAGCCTTATCCCGAAGGACTGTGGCAGACTTCTGTCGGACTCTTTACAAACTATTGGTGACTCATCACAGGCTGTGAATGAACAGAATTCACAGCCGTTGAAATAAAAAGAGGGTTTTTGGGACTAATTGTGTGCTTTTTACTGTCTCAGGAAGCCTAGGTCAGAACAGGTTTTGGCCATTTTCAAAATATTACAAAGAGGCCTCATCTCACTTTTATTTAAGCCAATGAATTATTCCAGGCACAGCAAAGGGACTAACCTTCACATGACCTACCTTGATTTCCCTTCCCTCCCTCCCCCCTCCCTTTTCTTTTAAATTCGTTCCCGCTTTTTCTGGATTTGTTTTCGCCACAAGTGTCCTGGAGTCTCCTTCTCTTGTGAGGCAGAATATATGGAGCAGAACTAAGGAGATTTTTATGCTGCAATTATATCTGGGCTGTATTTATCATGGCGTGTGGTCCTCTGGGAGATTCTTCATCAAGGGACAGCGGGAATATTGAAGTGAAATGAAGGAGAAGTAACTGGTAATTTAAAATACACGTTTTCTATAGAGGGGATTTCATAAAGATGGTAAAAGGTACACAGAGGAACATTCCTGTCTGGTTTCCATCATTAGCTGTTACTAAAGTAATTCCTCGGTCCACCAATCTCACTGCAAGGTGAAATACAGATCAGGTAGCATAGAGGTTGTATATATTTATGACTAATGCTGGTAGGGACATGTAATCATCTTCCTGCAGTGCCTCCATATAATATTTACTCTAATGTTATTATGATATATATATGCTCAACCAAATGGCAGCATGTAGTCAACCTTGGCTGATTTTGCAAAGCTAACCAGGGCCAAACCCGTTTAATGTCTACATAACATTGTTGTTACACAACAGTGTTGTGGCCCACCAGCGGCCAGCAGATCTAGCAGCAGATTCGGAGAGTGAGGAGGTTGGGGAGGAACATGGGCCAGTCCTGGAGTCTGGGGAAGACTCTGATGAGGGCTCTACGTCGGAGGCAGAGAGAGAGCCAGAGCCATATGCCAGTTATCAGCTGCCTTCGGAGTCAGACATCAGTGAGGCAGACTAACAGCTGGAGCCTGTTCCCAGTGTGCGCATGCGCAGAGTTGCCAGATGATGGTAACAGCTAAAGAACAAGGGTCAACTTGGGAGTAAAGCCACAGGTGGACGATGAATGGCCCCTCCCAGAGGGAATAAAAGAGGAGCAAAAGGAGAGTGGAGTTTGCAGGAGACAATTCGTTTATTACTGCATTCTTGCCAAGTATTTGCGGTGTCTGAAAGATATCAGCCTGGCCACTCTCCAAGCCTGATAAAGGTCGGTAATTGTGAACTATTTTGAAAGACTGTGGGAGAGGAAACACTTTGCTGGAGAGCCTTGGTAGTACAGTGGTCTAAAGCACCCTGTTATTAAGAACAGCTGCCTGCAATTACTGCAGGTTCGAATCTCGCCAAGGCTCAAGGTTGACTCAGCCTTCCATCCTTTCTAAGGTAGGTAAATTGAGGACCCAGTTGTGGGGGCAATAAGCTGACTTTGTATAAATATACAAAAGTATGAAGGCTATTGCTTAGCGCATTGTAAGCCGCCCTGAGTCTCCGGAGAAGGGCGGCATATAAATCAAATTAAAAAAAAAATTAAATAAAAGGGGTTTATCAGGATGAGGATTTGGCTTGGTGCTGCTGGGGAAGCCTAGGTGAGAACAAGCAGGAAATCCCCTGGCTGTAGGAGAGAGTGGCCAGTAAAGGCAAATAAATCAAACAGCCCAGAAAGTGGCAATGGGAAAGATCTTCTTGAAACCCTGTTTTAACACTACCTGGGTGTGGTCACGAAGACTTTATTCTGAATGACAGTTGAATATAGCATCATGATGTATGGATCAACATCGAAGGATGCCAATCTTAAATCTGATGAAAGAAAGAAACATGTGGGAATGGAAGGATGAATATGATAGTGATCAATGGGGTGAAACTGTTAATATCCAGATGTTGCTAAGTACAACTTGCCCTCTTTCCAATAACGATGAAGGAGTTCTAGTTTAGCAACATCTGTGGCCACATGTTCCCTGCCCATGAGCTAAGGAACGGCTCTCCAGGCTTCACAGAAATAAAGTATTTTTTGGAGAGGGAATAAAGACAGGCAAGGGACGAAGAGCGTAAAAGTTTTCAGAGATGGTCCCAAATCTATCCAATATCTGGGAAACCTAGCAGGATACTTTAACAGTGTTAATCTTAAAGGTAAAGGTAAAGGTTCCCCTCGCACATATGTGCTAGTCGTTCCCGACTCTAGGGGGCGGTGCTCATCTCTGTTTCAAAGCCAAAGAGCCAGTGCTGTCCGAAGACGTCTCCGTGGTCGTGTGGCCGGCATGTCTAAATGCCAAAAGCGCACGGAACGCTGTTATCTTCCCACCAAAGGTGGTCCCTATTTTTTCTACTTGCATTTTTTACGTGCTTTCGAACTGCTAGGGTGGCAGAAGCTGGGACAAGTAACGGGAGCTCACCCCATTACGCGGCACTAGGGATTCGAACTGCTGAACTGCCGACCTTTCGATCAACAAGCTCAGCCTCTTAGCCACTGAGCCACCGCGTCCCCTTTAATTAATCTTTACTAACCCTTCATTTGATTTTTGACGGGCTTTAGAGGAAGCAGGGGGGGAGCCCTAAATTAATAATGATGAAAATTATTCTGTGCCGGATCCCCCTCAAGCAGAACCGATTACATCTTTTATGGTGCACGTTCAATTGAGAGCACATGCTTTGGTCTTTTATAGCCTCCGAGAGCAGCCACTGTGGAAAATTCCCCTCAGGGGTTGGTTGGCAAAGGGAAGGGCTGACAGGAACACTCTGATTCCCACAAAACAAAAACGAGGGCTGGCGGATGCCGTATAAGCTATCAACAAGTTACTGGTGGCCAAGAGAAAATCAGGGAAAGGAGAGAGAGAGAGAGAAAAAAAGACCCAAGTTAAGAGAGGAAAAAATTCTTACAGTGAGAAAGCCCACAGCTTGGTTGGATTCTCTACTGGGATTTTGTTGAACTAAACCTTGTTGAAGATTTATGTGAAATATAATTCTAGAGGATAGGCACAGAATTGAATGTGTTTCTATTACAGGGTAGTCCTCGACTTACGACCCACCGTTGAGCCCAAAATTTCCACCGCTGATTTCCACTTCATCCTTGATGAAGAATCTTCAGCTGACTGCTGAAACATTTGTTAAGCGAGTTTTGCCCCGTTTTGCGACCTTTCTCGCCACAGTTGTTAAGTGAATCAGTACCGTTGTTAAGTTAGCAACACGGTTGATAAGTGAATCCCGTTGACTTTGCTTGTCAGAAGGTCGCAAAAGGGGATCACATGGCCTCCGGACACTGCAACCGTTATAAGTGTGAGACAGTTGCCAAGTGTCTGAATTTTGATCATGTGACCATGAGAATGCTACAGCGGTCGTAAATGTGAAGAACGGTCCTAAGTCACTTTTTGCTGTGCCGTTCTACCTTTGAACGGTCACTAAATGAACTGTTGTAAGTCCAGGACTACCTGTAGTTCTGGAGGATATACATAGAACTGAAAATGTTCCTATTATTCGTTTTTCTAGCTAGAAATGATGCATCAGTGTTTAGTATGGTATTTTTTGGAAAAAAAATTAAAATTGGACCATAAGGAAGGCTGAGCGCCAAAGAATTGAGGCCTTTGAAGTTTGGTGCTGGAGAAGACTCCTGCAAGTCCCTTGGACTGCAAGACGATCAAACAGGTCAGTCCTAGAGGAGATCAACCCTGACTGCTCTTTAGAAGACCAGATCCTGAAAATGAAACTCAAATACTTTGGCCACCTAATGAGAAGGAAGGACTCACTGGAGAAGAGCCTAATGCTGGGAACGATTGAGGGCAAAAGAAGAAGGGGACGACAGAGAACGAGGTGGCTGGATGGAGTCAGTGAAGCAGTTGGTGTGAGCTTAAATGGACTCTGGGGGATGGTAGAGGACAGGGTCACGATGGGTCGGACACAATATCGCAACTAACAACAACCACAATGGTATTTTGGAAAAGGAATTCAGAGCCTTGTGTGTGAGCTGGCAGTCCAACAGAGAGGAAGGTGTGGCAGAGAGACTTCTTCAACCTTCCAGTCATGTTTTTGCAAGAAAAAGAAGAAAACTAGTTTAGAACCACTTAGGATTCAGGTCTTATCCTACTCCATGTTTTGCCCAATGCAGAAGTTTCCAGAAATGGCACAGAACTAGAAGAAAAAAACTCCAGTTGCTAGATTGTCTCCTCCACCATGGGAGGCCTTTCTCTAATCCCAGAGAGAGATGTCCAGCTAATCCTGTTATAATTATAAATAGTGCAAAATATAATTAAGACTAATTACTTTCTTTCAATCATACCAGCACTTTTGCAATCATGGCCCCAGTAATAGATCCTACTCCTTTTACTTGAAGCAGTTAATTGGAGCATTATTATCACCTTTTTAATAAATGAAGGAACTAAAGATTTGAATTATTAAAGTGAGTATTTTGGGAAATCTTGAAGGCAAGAGACTTATGTGTTTCTCTTTTTTTCTGGGGCCTGGCTTTTAATAATTGAATTTTAATACTGAGGTGAAAACTATTGTATCTCAGCTACCAAATTTAAAGTAAAATTCCTTTGACTCTTAAAAATAAATCCAGTTCGCTCTTTGCAAAATCCATTGGGCCTTCCGATAGACTTATTTTATTTTTGCATCTCCAAGGTTTCCTTCAACTATATTTGTCCCTGTTGATTCTCTCTAGCTATGAAGAACTATTCCTTCAATGGAGCTTCTTCAGGAGTGCCTTGACATCAGGGAAATAGAAACCCTTATTTAAAACAATAACAACCCACCCAATATTATCCAATCACTTGAATGCAGAACAATGAAAAGAAATGACTATGAAATGGAGACTTACGGTGAGTTTTGGGTTCGCTTACAAATCTTTTATCTGTTAGAGGAAAAAAGTTAAAGAAAAAAAAAAGAAAAGTTGAAAAATGAGGATGACATGACAGTGATGATGGTAATAAACAGAAATCAAAAGGCTGATTATCCCCCACCCTTTCCAGCAAACCTAAAGGAAAAAAGGAATGATGGAAAATTTAAACACAACGGAACATAAAAGCTACATGCAGAAGAAAATCATGAACTAAAAGAAAATTGGCATTTTATACAATCTTTACTTTTTAATCATCTGCTGACCCACAACTCTAGTAGAACATTTTGTTTAATGTTTTAAGTTCTAACATCCTTATGGCCTGGGATGTAGTGTTAATGGACACACAATAACCCCTTCTTAGCAGCTCCTGCATTATGAGCAGCTACACAGCTCACTCAGTTGCCATTTCCACAGGGGGCATGTTACACTGCATTTCTATTTAAATTGCGGTCATTTTTACTACCTGTGCATCAGGAGATATGAATCAGCATATACACACTTTAAATACTTGTCCACCTTAGGATGTAAATAACAAGACACAGCAAATCTAAGCATTCAATCAGACGAGCAGCAGTTCCATGTCATTGGCCTCTGGGAATTATTCAGGGAAGCAATGTTTTCTGATGGGTTAGAGTCCCTGTTTTCTGTTCTATTTCAGAGTTGTTTCCTCTTGTCCCAAAGCTCATAATATTGCTTGTTAAGGAGATATGCATCTTCTAATAACTCATCTGTGCAGAAGTACAAACTGTCTCACCTCTCCCTTATCCTGTCTTCCCACTTTCCTGATCAAAGGTGTTTATGCAATTACACCTGTACATCAATTCATTCCACCCATTTGGTTAGATTCCTGTGTCCACGGTTTTGTTTCTAGACGCTAAATCTGGAGATTCTCTTTCACAGAAACGAACACACATCAAAACTGCCCACACATTACTGAATTGGAACAGAACTGCTTAAGTGCAATTGTGTAAATCCAGATTTACTGGAATAGGGTGGCAGAAGAGAAATGTGAATAAAACATCTATATAATAACACCAGTTTGATTGGGAAGGAACAAAAATTATTGGCCATGCCAACACCCATCACACACAGGAATTTATTGAAGCCTTGTATTCTATCAAAGGAGCAATTAACAAGCATATTGATCTAGATCAGGGGTGTCAAATATGCAATGTGGTCGGATCCGGGTTGCGAGGCTGTCATGGAAGGTGTGGCTTCGGCCCAGTCTACCCACTGCAAAGAGGAAACATGCCAGCAGTTTGGGGAATGGCGTCAAGGTGGCCATGCCCAGCCAGTTGGCCATGCCCACCCTGTCAGCCATGCCCACCTGGCTCCCTGAGATCAACCACAGCCCTCATGCGGCCTTCAATGAAATTGAGTTTGACACCCCTGATCTAGATTCAGCATATGAATATGTAAGAAACCAGACCATTCAAACGACCAATCAACAAGAGAACCAATTAGCTGCTCAGAATTTAAATATAGCTCCAAACGAACAACCAATCACATAACCAACTGACCAACTGGCACACACAAGACATTTATAAGCGAAGGGGAATTCGACAAGAGAATACTGCTGATGATGTAACCTAGTCTGGTAACGAAATGTTCAGAAATGAAATTGAAATGAGCTTGGATAGCAAACCACGGTCAAAAACATCTGTATGTATATTCCAGGAGACCAAAAAAGATGGCATAATTGACACAAAAGAGTGAGAAATCCCTTAAAGCATATACCAGAATCAAGGGGCCATATACCGAACTGAAGTTATAGAACAATTCTGATCTAGCTGCACCATAAGAATCAGGATGTTAGGAGAACGGAAGGAAAACCGACGGAATCGTCAATTTTAATTTTCTGCTTTCCTGCTTCTTCGTAAGAAAAAGTATTACTGATATTCTTTTTAACTGACTGTCCTGTTAAAATAGAGAATCTATATTCTCTACCTCAACAACATGCAAATATGAGTCTATGATTAAAATATATTCTATGTTTTTAGAGCTCCATGTAAACTTATTGTCAAACTGTCTTTACAAGGATTTGTAAAGTACAAGTAAAGGTAAAGGTAAAGGTTCCCCTTGCACATATGTGCTAGTCATTCCCAACTCTAGGGGGCGGTGCTCATCTCCGTTTCAAAGCCGAAGAGCCAGCATTGTCCAAAGATGTCTCTGTGGTCATGTGGCTGGCATGACTAAACGCCAAAGGCGCACGGAATGCTGTTACCTTCCCGCCAAAGGTGGTCCCTATTTTTGCTACTTGCATTTTTAACATGCTTTCGAACTGCTAGGTTGGCAGAAGCTGGGACAAGGAACGGGAGCTCACCCCGTTACACGGCACTAGGGATTCGAACCGCTGGACTGAGCTTGTCGATCGACAAGCTCAGCATCTTAGGCACTGAGCCACTGCGTCCTTCAAAATACAAGTACTGTGACATAATAACTTGAAGGACCTTTTACCATTCTGAATTTTTCTAGTTTGTCTGCCTGTCTGTCATCTATCCATATCTACCTACCTACCTATCTGATGGCTTAGAGGCCAGTCATATGCATGCTTATTCAAAATTGTATCTCACGGATACAATTTTGGACACCGGGTGGCAGCCATCAAAATGTAAAACTATTAAACAACCCTCAGATCAGTTGGAGTGTCATTTATCTGATCTGCACATTACATTAGAAATTCCTTTGTGATGTATAACACTCCGTGTGCCCTTCTTAACCCATCACATCCATCTTGAGAGAGAGAGACACTCCAAATACATCCTTTGGAGAGAAACAATGAAGAATCTTATGGCACTTTAATGACTAAAGCATTTATCAAGGCATATTTTTTCTGCACTAGAAGATTCTTCCTTGTCAGCTGTATGGGAGAGGTACAGCATGAATTTTGTAGTGCTAATTCAGATTTTATTTGGTTCTCTGTTTGGTTCCTATATAGGACAGAGTAAGCACAGCTGTGGGGCCAATAAAAAAAAATCAAGTTGATGGACATGAGCATCTGATTGATGCTCCAAAGCATGGGTGTCAAGCTCGCTGCGTCACATTGCCATCACGTGCAGAGGTGGTATTCGGCCGGTTCGTACCGGTTCAGGTGACCGGCCACCCGCCCGGATGTAATGCTGTGCACATGCGCAGCGAACCAGCGGTAAGAATATTGGAAACCCACCGCTGGTCACGTGACGTATCGCGACGATTGTTCCCTTTGCAGAGCTGGGATGGGCGTGGCCTACGCATGATGCAATTGGCTCGCGGGCCGCCAGTTTGACACCCCTTCTCCAAAGGGTCAATTCAACAGCTTTATTTAAAATTTCAGAGGCAGGCTTCAAGGGATGGTATGAAAACAAAAACAGATAGGAAAACAATTTGTTGTCACAACAGACGTCCTTGCGACAACAGCAGGTGGCAGCACCGACACACCGGGAAAACAATACATCCAAGTCTTGAAAGTTTGCTCATAAAAAAACAACAACAACCAAACAAACCCGAGACATTAAGGAAGCAAAGTTTGCTCTTTTTCTTCATCAGGTAATTTATTCGTATTTCTCAAATGGGAGCAATAAATATATCGGCTCTTCTGTTCTTCCCGATTTTATTTAGAACAGATGGATTAGGACCACACAAAAGCTATAGGCTTTTTTTTATAGACTAACGCTCACTTCGCCCGCTGCTTTCTTTGTGATGGACCAGCTACTGGCTTGTCTTACCATGAGATTATGGAACATCTGTAAATGTGCCAGGCCAGACAGAGGCTTCTCAACCAACAGCATCCTTTTTGAGATAAACCTGTAGCCCTAAAGGACTATTATACTGATGGAGGTATTTGCTGCAGCTGCCTGACAACATTCCTTGTGCTATCGAAGTGTAAGATGGGGAAGCAGTAACATTAATTACTGGGATGTACAGATAATCCTTGACTTACAACAATTCGTTTAGTGACCATTCAAAGTTACAGTGGCACTGAAATAAGTGACTTATGACTGTTTTTCACACTTACAACCATTGCAACACTCCAATGATTATGTGATCAAAAATCAGATGCTTGGCAACTGGTTCATATTTATGACGGGGTCAGGGGACCAACTTTTGCGACCTTCTGACGAGCAAAGTCAATGGGGAAGCCAGAGTCACTTAACAACCGGGTTACTAATTAATAACTGCAATGATTCACTTAGCAACTGTGGCAAGGAAAGTCCTAAAAAGGGGCAAAACTCACTTAACAAACGTCTCACTTAGCAAGATAAATTTTGAGCTCAATTCTGGTCGTAAATCGAGGACCACCTGTACTGAAAATTTCAGATAATCGTTGAAACTAATCAGCCATCTAAGTCTATCATGGCTTGTTCCCGATCCTTTGATCTGGGACCTGGTGCAGAAATAGTTTTGTACATTGCAAAGGTGAAAAAACAAAACCAATACGTTAGTTTTCAGATGAAATGCCTGCTATTCTCTTATAACAGCATTTAGGTCTATCTAATAGTCTTTCTGCCTGCATTAATATTAAGGAATGTTAAATAGAAGGCCAAATATATCAAGGAGGATACTTCCATTTGCTTGCAGAATATTAACCTTCAAGACTGTGACTCAAAATTAGTCAAGAAGAAGAGGCATTTTAATTCACTAATTTTCACTACAGACTCTCAATCATTTCATTTTTTAAATCATGTATCTCAGAGAAGAAAATTAGTAGATCACACAAAAGTTGATTTTTAATGAAATAGTTTAATACAGGTAGTTCTTGACTTATGACCGGTCCTTAGTGACTATTCGAAGTTACGCCCCACCTGAAAAAGGTGACTTGGATCTGAAATTCTGACGGTCACCCCCCCTCCCCATGGTCACATGACCATATTTTATGAAGATTTTGCCTAAAACGGGCAGTTAACTAGTTTTGGGCAAAATTGCATCAATAGCGAACCATTGGTTCACTTAACAACCACAGAGCTCACTTAACAACCACAGCATTTCTTTTACGATGGCTGCCGTAGAATTCCCATTTTACAAATTGTTATGACCTACAACCAAAATGGGCAGGCTCCTGCATTACGGTCGTAACTCAAGAACTATCTTTATAACGAAGAAGATGGAATTATTTGGAGCGATGCAGACTTTCATTTCAAGCATTTGCTAGCTTGAGCCACAAGATACGTGAAATTTGTTTTCGCTGATTTTCAGTATCCATGGCTCGATCCCAAAGCATGTATCCTTACAAATTGTTCCTACCTGAAATCCCAATCCATCAAACCAGATCTGAAATGATTCACTGAAAAAGCTGGTACAATTGGCTTGTTTAATGCAGAACGCAGAATGAACTCAACTTGCTGCTAGAAAATACTCAGTAGGAATCTGTACCCCATCACTTCTCTGCAAGTATATAATGTTCCAGATTTGCAAGCATGAATATTATCCTATAAATGCCGTAGCAATTTGTGGTCAAAGGACTAGTTTAGGCTAAACCATTAAAACTATCCTAGAGAAGCTGGGAGCAGACAGATTCGGCAATCACGTCTAACCAATCTTCTCAGACACACCTTCAGAAGGCGCCTCACAGTTTACAAGATCTTAAAAAGATCTCAATCATCCCCTTGAACGTTTCTGACCCTTGATCTTAGCTCTCTCTTTCCCAGCTTCTACAGGTTAAACTTACTTTGCATACAGAGCCCATCGGTGCAATTTTTGGAATCAAGCAGGACCCCGCTACAGTCCTTGCCTCCATTTCGGGGAGATGGGGCCATGCATTCTCGGCTCCTCCAGTGCGTGCACTCGGTGCTACAGGCTGACCACTTGCTCCATTCAGTCCAAGCTCCATCTACTGCATTGCCAAAAAAAAAAAAAAAAAAGAGACACGTGAGCACAGAGAAAGTTAATCAGAAATCCATAGGCACAAAAAGGGAAGCTTATCAAATGGGCTATTTCAGAAGGCCTTTGGTGATTGTTACTGCAGATCAGGGCTGGTACAGGTAGTCCTCAAGTTATGAATGTAGCGGAGCCTCCCCATTCCATTCGTAACCCAAGGATTCGTGGGAGTGAATCTCGTACCTTGAACGAGATCACTCCCTCCTTTCTCCCACGCATTTGCTAATTGAATGTGAGACTCGTTAAGTGCATATGAGGTATTTCAGGGTGGGGAAGGCCATGGGGGTGCCTACTGGAACAGGCCACCTGCCTAAGGCCACCCAAGGCATCCTGGCTTCCGGAGACTCCATTTCGGCCTGCAACGGGTCAGGGGAGGCCCGCGGAGGGCGGAATGGGGCTCTTGAGCGGGGATCCTCCCCTTGGAAACTCCATTTTGGCTGGCAATGCGCCGGACAAATGTTTCAGAACCTTTGCAGTTGTTCGTAAAGGCGAACAACTGCTGTGGTGCTGCAAAATTTGTAGTTTCAGGCCTTGTTTGCAAACACTAGGGGGCGCTTTTCACGTAACTTTCAACGTTCACTAAGGGAACGCTCGTAACCCGGGGGCTACCTGTCTTAATTTTTTGAATTTTGCATTAAAATCATTATGATGATGGTGTTGCAATTGCTTTAATTTCAGTATTTGCACACTGTTTAGAATTCTCTCAGACTGAGGTAGTAGACAGTAATTTCCTTCTTATTTATGCAATTTATTATTTGCTGCTGGGCTAAGACACCAAGATCTGCCTATGGTTATCTGGTGTGATAAAGGGGATATATGTAATCTAAAATTTAAAAAAAAAACTTTCTACTTCATATAGGCCATAATTCTGGTTACTTCTAAGTGTTCTTGCAACATTTGCAAGTTCTAATCTCAATTTATCATAAGATATAAATTCAAAATCCATACCAAAAGGAACAAATTCATCAAGCAAATGCATTTCACAGCATGATTTATCTTAGGGTCCAGCATTCTGTCATAAACTATATGCATTTTTCTCTTGAAGCTGGCAAAAACAGCAACTAGATTAAAATGTCCTGAATTCTCACAAAGCAGCTTTTACTGTTTTTCCTTACTATAATGTTTATCCTATTTTTCCTCTCTCCAGGCTGCAAGTGTAAGAAGACTGTTCTTTTTGCCAGTACTTTGAAATACTATGTCTTGCTCCTAGTAGCAGATGCTGTGACATTTACAGGAGATTATGAGAATTACAGTGCAACATTTGAAGGGCACCAGGTTGGAAAAACCTCGTACAATGTTTTGATTTTGATACCCATCTGGGAAATAAAACAGAACCATGTGTTGAATGATAGCATCTTGTAACTTCCTGTAGATACTGTCAGATCCGCAGTATGAGCCTCAAAACTAGCTTGGCCTCCTTGTGTCAAGAAAACAACAACAAGATGTATTATTTCAATCGAACAGATGACTCAACCGGCAATATTTACTCTTTATTCCAGAGGCCTGGGAGAAAGAAAACGAAAGAAAAAGGAGAAGGCACCTTACATGGCTTTGCATCATCTTTCAAGGTCTCTAAAGCACAGCCAAGGAAATGCGACGACTTCCCCAGATATGTCTCCAGATGTCAGCTCAGAGAAGATGAACCAGTTCTACGCACATCTGGAGGGGAGTTGGTTAATGGCTCCAAGCAGCCATCTGAGACAGGGTGGGATTCTATCAGTTCAGACCGGTTCGGACGAACTGGTAGCTCCGATGATCAGCTGGGAGCGAACTGGTTCACTCCGATTATCAGGTCGGTCCGCCTGCCCGTCCCGTCCCTGCACTTTACTTTATCTTCTCAGCTGATTGGCGTGGCAGAGCGGATTGCTGTGCCTCAGCTGTGTTACTCCTAAGTGGTAACACAGGTTAGTATTTGTAAAACTGTGCACGTGCGTGCGCCAAAGCATGCAGCGAAGCACGTGATCACCGAACCGGTTGTTAAACCGACAGCATCCCACCGCTGATTTGAGAGGGATTTGGCTGAAGCAGAGCTGCAGCAGGACAGCCCTGAGGCTTCAGGTAGGGAAAGCATGTAGCTGCAGCTGATCAGTGATGAGGAAGAGGAAGAGGAACTGCCTGCTGCTTCTGATCCAAGAACACATAGGGCAGAGAAAAGGCAGGAGCAGAGAAGGTCAGCCAGATTACTCTCAAGGAAGCGGCCTCGCTCTTCTTCATGGGCTGCACCAGAAGCTGGCTATTTAGCACAGCAGACAGATAGAAATGATGCTGGGAACAATGTATTCATTTCCTAGCGGTGTGTTTTCTGGCTGTTGTGATTCTTGCTTTCCTTTGGATTGACACTGTGCCTTAACTTGGATCGGGCCTTGTGAACTCTGAACTTTTCTTGCCTCGTGAACCCTCTTGTATTGTGGATTTAATTTTGCCTGGTGGGTTTATCTTGTTTGGGAAACTTTCAGGTGCCTTTTGGACTCATTGGTCATTGCTCTGTGATTAGCATTGGTCTGCTTTTGACTTAATCGGGACAGTTCTGGGGTTTTGGTGAAGAGAATTGCTGGGGAATATTAATAAACCCACTAAACCGGCAGTTGTATGCATGTGTGTGTATGCGTGCGTGAGCGGGATAGCACAGGAAAGCAAATATTCATTAAAATAGTTGGGACTTTGCTGGTCAAGAAGTCAAGTCAGGAGCAAGCTGTGAATAATTGCTTCAGAGGAGGAAAAGAGCAGGTTGACCATCCTTCAGATCAGAAAGAGTAAAGGAAATATTTTCAGAAATGAATCATCCTTTTCCTTACGGTAGAAGCTCACAATTCAAGATCGGAGGCTCAACTCTTAGTAACCTCATTATTAGCCTCCTTGAGCAGGATAACTGAGGGCTCTGATCCAATGATCTGAAAAGCAATATCCTCCCCAGGTGAACTTACCTGGGCACATGGTAGTGCAGGCAAGCTTCTGGAAAGATTGTCCATCGCAAATAGAGCCACCATTGAGTGGCACTGGATTGGTGCAGGTGCGGGTACGCTTCTGCCATCCACGGCCACAACGGTTGCTGCACGAGGACCAGTCTGACCAGGTAGACCAGCCACCATTCACTAGGAGTGAGGAAGGAAACAAAAACAAAGAAAGTGAGGGGGAAAAAATTGAAACACAACCTCCTAACAAGTCCCCTTTTCTCTCAGCCAAATCATAACACCGCCATTTTACCACACAGAATAACTACGCGGAAGATATTCTATACTCTAAGCATCTCCTTAGACATGCAGCAATTATTCATCACAATGGTTGTCCCAGCTATTATTAACATTGTTCTAGAAGATATTATTTTATTTCCTATAATCAGAGCAATCAAGAAGATAAGGATAAAAAAGAGTCAAAACCAAAGAGGGCTATTTGTGAGACAATATGAGAACTAGGCTAGCTCCCAATCATATAAGGAAGGCTAGAGGAGTACATCGTTCAACAGAGCTCTGGGAATATGGTCAGAATTTGATGAGAATTTGGTATTGGCTAAAGAAATTAAACTGAGAAAATCCTTCAGAGAATTAGGGAAGGTGGTACAGATACTGCACAAACGTGCCAGGTTTCGATTTCAGCAAATGGAAACAAATGGAAAATTTCATGTCTGAAAAACTGAATTGCTGCTGAATATCTGTTTGGAAATCCTAGTCCAGTGATGGCTTTTTGTCGTTGCGTGTTGAAAGTGCCCCCCATGCTCCCCGCGCATGCATGCCCAACCCTCCCGCCCCATTTTGGGCCTAGCAGGCCCCCCCGCAGCCCATTTTTGGTCCCAGGAGGCTGCAGGGAGGCCTGCTAGGCCCAAAATGGGCTGCCCCCTGAATTCTCCCCCCACCCTGTGCATGCACGCACGACCCCCCCGGGCATGCGTGCGTATCTCCCGCATGTGCCCCACCCCCTGGGCATGTGCGGCAGAGACCCGAAAATCAGCTGGCTGGTGGGAGGCACACATGCCATAGATTTGCCATCACAGTCCTAGTCTGCGGATAGAACCAATAAAGGCAATTAAGAGAAGCCTGTTGAGGGAGAAGAACATCTAGCAAAGACGTTCTTCATGTTGCCTCTAAGATACCTTTGGCTTGCTCTTCATATTTCAGATAATAAATCAGGGCAGCTACTAGTACCGTGATGGCGAACCTATGGCATGGGTGCCACAGGTGGCACGCAGAGTCATATCGATGGGCACGCGAGCTTTGCCCTAGCTCAGCTCCTGCTCGCATGCGTGTGCCGGCCAGCTGATTTTCGGGCCCTCTGGGCCCACCAGAAATCAGGCTGTTTCCGGCCTCTGGAGTGCCTCCGGGGAGGTGGGGAAGACCGTTTTCACCTTCCTCAGGCTCCTAGAAAGCCTCTGGAGTCTGGGGAGAGCGAAAACAGCCTACCAGGCCCACCCTGCCATTGTGTGCTAAAAGCGTGGGGAGCATGGGGGTGTCACGTGCGCATACATGCAGGCAGGCAGGGAGTACTGAATTACGGCTGTGAGCACACACACATGCGACCCCCCCCCGGGCGTTCCCCCGCTTTTGGCACGTGACGGCAAAAAGGTTAGCCATCACTGTACTAGTACATCACAATTGGCTATTATGTGGTAAGATTGGGAAATGGTTGTTTCTGTAAATTATTCTGAAAAGTCCTGTAAATTTCACCAGAAATAGCATCCTTCCTTCTCCGGGTTGCCTATTCCCTGCTTCCAATCAAAAATTTGAAAGTCTTTTGTATAGTAATTGTGGCCAAAATTGTGGAAAACTTTTGGGAAAAGTGTATTTTTGAGGCTGATGGCTAATAACACCACTTTTTGGGGGACGTTTCAAGATAATCCTATTCCACTGCTGGAATGGCTTGGGAATAGCTCAGACCTTAACCCAATTGAAAATCTATGGAGCCGACTAAAGAAACTTGTTAGTCAGAAGCGACCCAGCAATAAAACCCAGTTAATAGAAGCAGTCTTTCAATCTTGGTTTCACGTTATAACAGCTGCAGAACTAAAAGACTTGGTTCACTCCATGGGAAGACGTTCTAAGGCCGTAATTCATGCTAAAGGTTACCCAACTAAGTATTAACTGACATGGGGATAATTTTTGTATATCTCATTTTTTCTACGTGTTTCACTTTTCTTCTTTAGTGTGACTGCTATTCTAATAGCAAATCCTTCCTAAAGGTTATTGCATTACATTCTTGATTCAATTATCTTTCCATCGAGATATAATTTTATGGTACTACTCCAAAAAAAAAAAAAAATGGTGTTATTAGCTAGTTTTAGAAAATACACTTTCCCCAAAAGGTTTCCACAATTTTGGCCACCACTGTACATCTTTGTTAAATGTACCTAGTTGTTTATGAAACCAAAGACCTACTGTATTATGCAATTTCATGTGTGCTTGGGAGGCTAGAAATCCTAATGAAATCAATGAGTATTTGGTTCTGAACGAGCGTTGCACAAGATGGAGGTCACACTTCAAATATCAGCATAAACCAAATAAACATAAAGGCAGAGTGGTCTCCTTTTGAGAACCTCTGGCAACTTCATAGATGATGTCCTTGCTCTTTTCTTAGCAGCAACATAGAACCTGTTTTCCATTATCTCCTTCCGGTGCGATATTTTTTCTTCTAAGTCTATATCCCTTATATTTCCCGATGGTTTCCCAACCCAATACAATGAGTCTGAACTTGTTTAACATTTGTAAGATCAGCAACCGCTGCAAACTATATTCCTCGCATTCTCCCGCAGAAACGGGATTTCATTCCCTCAGACTCCCCCCCCCCTCAAGTTCTCAACAAATCATTACCATAAACAATTATTGTAGCCGTGGTGCTCCTCCGTTTGGCAACAATGTTTTTTGCCACGCAGGTGTAGTTGCCCGTATCAGAAAGCCTAGCCTGCTTGATGATAAGATTGTTATCTATGGTTATCAGGAAGTTTGTGTCCTGGGAAGCATCAATCACATCCTCGTTCTTCAGCCACTCCACCTATATTAAGTTTCGGAAAGAGAAAAAGAAAACGAGATGATAAACAGTTGGGACAGGCAGAAAACAAAAGACTGTCGATCTGAAGCAAACCTGGCTGAAGCCATCTTTTGCTGACTCATAGTTGCCACAAAGCCTGAGAGGGCGAAGGGAGGGGGGGGAAGCAGATAGATCCGGCAACAGTCAAAACAAAAAAAAATTCCCGTGGGAACCAAGGTCATTTCAACAGGTGGCTGCTGAAGGAGGAGAGGAGTGACCAAGCAGCCTGCCAGCTATATTCATTGGACAATGTGACCGGTGACATCTGGGAGGCGGGACTTCTGCTCTTTTAATTGGGTGAAAACCATGGGAACTTTTAGAGTTGGTTTTCACCAACTATGCCGATATGATGTATCCCATAAAACATGTTCTTGGAGGAATCTACCTGCTTTTGATGGGTGTGTTACTTGGAACACTGACAAAGACAATGATAACTCTTATCATTAGAAATAAAAATTAAATACCCTCTCCCGAAATAGTTCCTTCTACTACAGCAGCAAATTAAAGCTGAAAATTTGTGATTGTCTTTGAAGTGTAGCCTTCTCTGAGAAGACTGGGCCATTTGCCACCCAAAATTGATAAGGAGTTATAGAAGCCCAACACACTTTACAACAGTTTACTTAGTGGCCATTCAAAGTTACAACAGCACGGAAAAAAGTGACATATGACCATTTTTCATACTTATGACCGATGCAGCATCCCCATATTCATGTGATCAAAATTCAGACACTTGGCAACTGACTTATATTTATGACTATATTTGCACTGTCCTGAGGTCACACAATCCCCTTTTGCGACCTTTGGACAAGCACAGTCAATGGGGAAGCCAGATTCACTCAACAACCATGTTACTAACTTAACAACAGCAGTGATTCACTTAACAGACGTGGCAAGAAAAGTTGTAAAATGGAGCATAACTCACTTAGCAACGTAAATTCTGGGCTCAGTTGTGGTCGTAAGTCGAGGGCTACCTGTACACATGGCAAGTACAAATGGTGTTTTGCCTTACGCAACACAATGAGGAAAGCCCCAACTGGTACTTGTGACATATAAACATGGCATGAGAGGTATGTACACAATTATTTCATGCTGTTGCAAGCAATTGCTGTAAAATGATAGCTCAGTAAACTGGAAGAGATACATAAAGAATGCTAAAATGCACCTGGTTTTGCTCATTATTTGAGAAAGGATGGTTTTTCTTACTTACAGGCAATTCTATTTTTAACTTTGTTTTGAAATGGTTGGGTCTGGAATGGCCTAATTTGTCTGGCTGTTTGGTTGCAAAAAGTAGCAAAGACCAGATCCTTACTTGGCTGCATTTATATTCTGCTTTGCCTTATTGTGCCAAAGTCACATTGTGAAAGTCATGAGTCTCAAACCAGATCTCTGTTCAACAAACCATCCCTAGTCAAAGAAATTCTGAGAAGGAAGGAAGGAAGGAAGGAAGGAAGGAAGGAAGGAAGGAAGGAAGGAAGGAAGGAAAATGGAGAGAGGGGGAAGGAAGGAAGGAAAATGGAGAGTGCGCGGAAGGAAGGAAGGGAGGGAGGGCGGGAGGAAGGAAGGAAAGTGGAGAGAGGGGGAAGGAAGGAAGGAAAATGGAGAGAGTGAGAAGGAAGGAAGGGAGGGAGGGAGGGAGAGGAAAGAAAGTGGAGAGAGGGGGGAAGGAAGGAAGGAAAATGGAGAGAGTGAGGAAGGAAGGAAGGAAGGAAAGAAGGAAGGAAAGTAATGCAAAATCAATTACTACTGTCTGCATATGTTTTTTTCGTTTACAGACCACATGAGTCACATGTTGAAGAAATCATTAAACTATCATTGCTCCTGCAATTAAAAGTTTTCTGCAGTACCCTCAAGACATTATCTTCACCTTCCCAGGCTCCAGATTCCACGCATATGTAGTGCCAGAACGAAACCATTTCTTTACCCTAATCCTGATGTTTAAAATCACAAATAACTGACAAATATAGAGACAACAGATTTCGGACATCCCCTCCCTGCCGCATAATCTGCTCGTTCTTGAAACTTAACAGGATTTATTAGAGAAATAGGAACCACCAGTCTAAGCAAATACCCAGTCCTTGGTCTACAACAGTTCTTTATGCAGATCTCTCTGAGTTACTGGGAAGCAAAGTCTGCAGTAGAGGTAGAAGAAAATACATCCAGAGGAAAGGCCAGGGATTGTTGATCTTGCCAAGCGCTAATGGTTCTTTTTTCTATCCCCTTCTCGGGAAAACAATTTATTCAGTGTTTTCTTTACCGAATTCTGTCAAGGGTTAATGGCTGATCAGCCTATGTAGGTGGCAGGATGGAACAGGTGTTGAGGTTAACCACATTATTAGATGTCAGAATAACAGATCCACTGCCTAAAATAAACACTTCTGCTGAATAATGAAAACAGACGGGCCCCCAGCGTGGTGCTATCCATCACAATCCCTCTCCGTCTTCACCTGGCAACTCATTTCCCTAACAGGCTCACTTTCGGACCATAAACATCTGTCTGCTAGGTGCCAACCTTCACAGCTGGAATTTTACTACGGTTGCAAGAGAAACTCGAGGAAACAAGCCCGCATTTGAGAGGTGTAAACTCAAGGCAGGAGGCGAAGGCTGGGCAGAAATTCTGGGTGAGTCTGAAACTTCGTATGATTTATTAACACAATCTGCAATGGGGGGAAAATGATATGTTTCTCTATCATTATTCACCCTCCCAAAGCACCTTCCACGGAAAGCACAGATGTGCCCAGCTGTGGGAGGAAGGCAGGAGGTTTTTCATTACCAACTGCTGGCAATTAGAAGAAAATATATATATATCTCAGCAACCGAAATTGGTAAAACAAAATTTTCTTATTAATAATAGAGGAAGGAAGGAAAGAAGGAAGGAAGGTAAGTCAGGAGATACACATCTTCCTAAACCAATATACCCAATGAGAGAGTACGAACTTCTGTGGGAGGTAAGGAAACAGTTTAACTGAAGAATCATAAAGCAAAGGTAGTCCTCAACTTAACGCCAGAATTGAACCCAACATTCCTGCTGCTAAGTGAGACAGTTGTTAAGCGAGTTTTGTCCCAGTTTATGACCTTTCTTGCCACAGTTGTTAAGTGAATCATTGTAGTTGTTAAGTTAGTAACACGGTTGTTAAGAAAATCTGGCTTCCCCATTGACTTTGCTTGTCAGAAGGTCGCAAAAAGTGGCCACCTAACCAGGTAGTAAAACCCGCGAGAGGCCCCACCCACTGACCCTAATGTCATGAAAATGCTTTTGCACATGCGCAGAAGACCGCGTGAGAGAGCGAAGCGAGTGCGCACGTGTGGCCCCGTTGCGAACCGGTAGTAAAGATAAGAAGAACCCACTCCTGCACCTAACCCTGGGACACTACTACCATCATAAATATGAGTCAGCTGCCAAGCTCCTGAATTTTGATCAATTTTGACCATAGGAATGCTGCAATAGCAATAGCACTTAGACTTATATACCGCTTCGTAGTGCTTTTACAGCCTTCTCTAAGCAGTTTACAGAGTGAGCCTCTTGCCCCTAACAATTTGGGTCCTCATTTTACCAACTTCGGAAGGATGGAAGGCTGAGTCAACCTTGAGCCTGGTTAGATTTGAATTTGCCAAATTGCAGTCAGTCAGCAGAAGTAGCCTGCAGTACTGCACTCTAACCACTGTGCCACCGTGGCAATAGTCTTAAGTGTGAAAAATGGTCATAAGTCACTTTTTTTTCAGTGCCGTTGTAACTTCAAATGGTCACTAAATGAGCTGTTGTAAACCGAGGACTACCTGTAATTTTCCTAGAACACGTCCAGGAGGGCTAACTCTACAATTATCAAGAAAGATTTAGATACAGAGAACCTCAATTCTCGGTGCTTTTAAAATTTGGCCCAGATTTTTTTTCCCCAGCACTTTTCCCAGGCAAGCAACCAATGATCTCCAGAAATTGTGTAGCCATTCCATCTTCATTGCATTGAGATATATCACAGGCAGCCTTGCCTTGCCCCCAAATTCAACGTCTTGTCCTATTTTCTTCATTTTTTTTTTATTTTTTTATTTTTTTAAAATTAGATTTATATGCCGCCCTTCTCCGGAGACTCAGGGCGGCTTACAATGCGTTAAGCATTGTATATTTTATACAGTCAGTTTATTGCCCCCACAAACTGGGTCCTCAATTTACCTACCTTAGAAAGGATGGAAGGCTGAGTCAACCTTGAGCCTGGTGAGAGTCAAACTTGCAATAATTGCAGACAGCTGAATGTTAATAACAGCTTTTTTAGTCTGTTGAGCTATCCAGGTTCCTGAGGAGGAGGATTGTTTTACCTATGCTACTGTGATTCAATCCACTTGAAAGGCACAGAAAATATTGAACCTCTCATAACCCAGATCATGAGCGTGATTAAACTTATCCTGACTGCCTAACAAGGATAATATGAATGAATGAAAGTTTTATGCTCAGAGTTTCTTGTGAAGAAATGATTAACCGTATCAGCTGCCTTTCAGGATTCCACTCAAGGGAATTTACTTATTTATTTCGTTGGTGGCTGGTTTACATCCTCTGTTTTGACTCTGCCAAGGCAGCTAACGAAGTGTAGAAAACAAAAATGGAATAGGCAAACAGACTAAAACAGACTAAAATTTACTGGGAACTAGTTAGCAAAATAAAGTTGACTGTTAAAAGCCCAATGGAGGAGATGCATTCTTATAGAACAGCCTTCTCCAGGAACAGCCTCCAGGGAAGTGTGTTCCGTAGCTTGCAGGCAGGACACACAATTTCTTCTTTGGGGAAATTTTCTGTTTCCTTGAGCTGCTCTTACATCACAAATAATCTTGTGGGTGGATGCTCAACTACTTGAACACAACAATTTTCCTACCGTGCTTCCCTGAAAATAAGATCCTGTCATATTTTTTTGAACCCCTGAAATAAGCGCTTGGCCTTATTTTCGGGGGAGGTCTTATTATTTTGGGGCGTGTGGAGC